GGGGGTAGACGCCTCCGGCTGTCAGGTTAAAATCTAATCAGGTAAAAGAATGATAATATATGGTCATCGATATACTTGTATACATTGCTGCCGCGCCCAGGCGATGTTGGGCTCAAACTTGGAAATGATCGTAACGGCCGGGTGCTGTTTGCAGTTCACATGAGGCCGTCTTGTGTCATTCCCCCACTCCGCTCCTGATCCTTCTGCAGGAAATCGGAGATCAGGTTACGGACATAGTCCTTTTATTGCGCATGTCCAATGCCCTTATCACAGTTTAATCTCAACAATTATCGGCTGGATGTTAATGAGCCTCATTTATCCCGTTAAAATCAATAAACAGCCCGCGTCCCGAGTTATGCGGTTACTATGACATAGGCCCAGAGAACATAGACAAAACTTCGCTTGGAATCTATTTCAAAATCGACTGTAATGCATAGGTATATACAATTCAAATCCTTACCGCAAGCACTAACGCCTGCGTTTTTGCCCAATCAAAGGTAAAGTCATACCAAACATATCGCCGTATTCCGGCCAAAAAGGCGTGACTCGGCCGCTATTCTGGATTCTGGTCATAAGCTTCTTCTGCCATGGCGAGAAGATAAAAGTACATAGTCTCCAGCCCGATACAATCAACAAGCATCGGTTGTGACGGCGGATATAGAGAATTGAAACAGGGAGTATGGAAAACGAACACAAAAAAGAGATGGCATAATAACCTGTCGTAAATAAGCTAGCACAGCCAGCAAGCAAGACAGCTGTGAAATCGTAGGTCGTAGTCTACTATAGATCGTCGTGTTTCTTCCGTTGCTGCGACGTCTGGTCTACCTCCTGGCTTTTGTAGGTAGGGCCGGGCTCCCCGTCACTCTCCTCGGCCAGTTCCGATAAGCCAATATTTTGGTTCTCGACATCGTAAGAGTGGATGAGTCCTTCACGATCACCATGGCCGTTCATGAAGGCGATGCTGGAGGAGCTGCGGCGGTGTGGTTCGTGGCTCCTGCGCGCCTGCATTGATCGACGCGTTTGGAACCCTGCGATACCATCCGTGGGGACCCCTTCTTCATCAAATTTCGAGTTGAGCAGTTGCCCGTCTGGGTCATGTCGCGAGATGTTCAAGAGATATACTCCGGAGAAGATAATAAGGAAGCCGCAGAGTAGTGAAATAGTGTTGACGGCATCGGTTGTGTTGAATCCTTTAAATAGGATGAAGGAGGCGCAGAGCGTGGCGGTCGTAAATGTGACATAATACAAGGGATTGACACTGTGGAGCCTGTTAGCTAGATCGGCTCTATTTTTGAACAGAGCTACTCACATCGAGGTCGAGAACTCGTTCAAGGCTTTGTTGAAATAGTTCATCTGTGTGAGAATGCAGAAAACCGTGACGATGAGGAAAACGTATGTTGACGCATGACTGAACTGGTTGTGACCTCCTAGACTAAGTTTCAAGGCAATTCCGAAAGCCTTTACGGACATGACAGAGACGGAGCCAACGGTGGAGCAGATCGAGATGTAGATTAAGGGGTTCCTCTTCCCATATAATGGTGCGACTCGGTAGATCATCAGGGTGGCAAATATAGCGACGGCAAGGCAATAGAGCAGAAAGCCTAGAATCAAAGAAGCAAAGAGTCAGAATTCCATTTCGTGATATATCCGGCGCTGAGGCGTACCAGGTTGAAGCGCATAGTGCAAAATCTCATCAATCGTCTCGACTGGCTGGTCCGGTGGCGCATGTAAAACAATCACGACTGAGCCCAGTAAACACATGGCACAGCCCAGCTTCCCCAGGACACCAAGTCTTTCTTTGAGGAAATAGGACCCTAGAACGGCGCTTGAAGGGGTTAGCAATTTGCCAGGCCATTCGAATTAGTAGGACAAATAATCGCAACTCACCCGATTAGGACACTTAGCGCACCCAACGGTGTAACCAAAATAGCGGGAGCGAATGCATATGCGGCGAAGTTGGCGGCTTCTCCGATAGCCACTGCGACCTTGTTAGATGTCGATCTTCGGTCTGACAGCAATGATTGTTTCCATACAGATACTGACTCCGGCCCACCACGTCGGACTCTTCAGATATGAAAACCCTTCTCCTTCAAATCCGTGTCGTTCTGTCGCATGATTTAAACCCTGTGCGGAATTAGTCAGTTGTTTATCCTGGCCGAACGTAGGCATTGATAGTCGGAGGAAAGGAAGGGCGAGATCTGGTATATACGCACTATTTTCGTGATGACAAAACTTGTGCCTTGGGACTGGTCAGTGCTGCGCAAGTAATGGAATAGAGAAGGTAGAGCCATACCAATGGCCATCGTGGATAGAATGGCCAGTAAAAGGCCGATATACCTGTTGTCCGAATCATCCGGTTAGAATGCGGTCGCCTTAGGCAGGGATTGAGCAGGAAGAGGCGATGCGACGGGCGTACTTTTCTGAAATCATGTTTGTTGTACTCAAGGAGCGATTGCTCCTCCTGGTGAAAGGGCTCCAACTCTAGCAGTTATTCGAACGAAGGAAGGCAAAAGCGTTCGTGAGCGATCGCAAGGAAGATAGTGAGCGGGCCTGGTCGGCGAGTTGTCGAGGGCCCAGAATGCACCAACACAAATACAGGAATACCGGTCGGAATGAAGACGGAAGGTCGCGAAACAAGGGCAGCAGTCGAAAAGAATGGAGCGGCTGAAGACCCTGCAGCCTGGAAGAATGGGACAGATGGCGGGATGGCAAGCGAGTTATTGATTAGAGGACCGATCTCGATGGAGGTCGATTCGGAGGCTGGCTGCGGCCGGGCCTGTTGCTGCTGCACTCGTGCGGTGGGGTTTGCTGGGACTGGATCTGGACGCGTAAGTGGCCCAAGCGAACGAAGCGGCAAACCAAGTATGTCACTGGCGATCAGAAGAGTAACAGACAACGAAGAGACAACGAAGGTTGGGACTGAGGAATAACGTCTGCGGGTGCAAAAACAGAGAGAGAGCGAGCAGGTGAAAAAGAAGGACAAACGAGTGGACAAGGGCCGAATGAAGGGCGTGTGAAGGGCAAGTTTCAAGAGGCCAAAGGTCATCTGGCAAACTGGAGGGTTGCACGACTAATAAGTAACAAGGCCGCTTTCGATGCCGACCCAAGCCAGGACCAGGCCCAGCGACAAGAATAGCAGTCTGCCAGTCTGGCCCGTTGAGGTCAATCTTTGATGCTTCTGCGCTCCGTCTCTCACAATCTACGACTTGGTACTGTGGCCGGTCACTTTTACAAACAAGTAACTATTGGTAGCCACTGCATTCACTGCCCTGGGTAGCTGGGCTATTTGGTGCTCCCTGGAGGAAATCAAGGGCAAGGTGGCCATTCTTGTCTCAGGCATGTTTTATTATGTGGAGGACCCCTTGAAAAGGCCAAGTTCGGCCAAGTTGAACGATCGGCGTTTCAGTTCAAAACTGAGAATAGCTGTAGGTCCGGCCTCTCGGCGAGGCTGAGCAATGCCCCCCAGTTTATGCCCCGGTTTATGCCGTTGATGCCGTCGTCCGATGCATACCTGGTCTGAAGCGTCCTCATAAATTCGAATTACGATCCGGTTGGACTTGGTGATCGTGGTGATCGAACGCCCCGAGCCAAGGATACTTCTCTTCGAACCACGCTGCTAGAAGTTTCAGATTTACTCCAGTTTACTCCTCTGCTCATTTATCAAATACCTGAGCAACTTACTTACTCTAATGCTCCTGTCTAGTGTATAGCTTACCGCCGAGCTGTCTCGAACTGCCCAGGCGTCGCAACCGCGGTGAAATCGGCCAGCAAGGGCTGGATTCTGTACGCTTTCTCGATCGATGGTAAATTGTTAGCTTAAGGTGTTCAAATCCCTTTATTTAGCCAATACTCATGTCCTCCCTGCTTGAAGATGCAGTATATAGCAGGCTTTGTCCCTAACCTGTATCAAATACAAGTACAGCATACAGCGCCTCTTCCGGCGCTTAGTACTGTAGGAAACTCCTTTACTACATATAGAAATTCGCAACCTTCCCAGGTTTCTGTAAAAGAAGTTTCGCCACCGGCCACGAGTTGTACCTGAGACTCCCAGAAAAGGTATGCCAATGGAGTGGTGGCTCGAATAGTAGGCAACCTTTTTTTTACCTTTGATCCTTATGCTTTACCGCGAATTTTCACATTGTTGTAGAAACGTCTGCCGCGGACCAAAGAGTATATGGTGTGACCCATATTCCAGGCTTCTCCGATCGGGTCTACTATGTTAAGGTCGCCACTACGTACGTAGTCCTATAGGTAATAGAGTACTGGAAAAATATTTGCAAAAGTAATCTGCAGTAGTATTCACTCTATCGACCGCCATATAATACAATCACAACAGCCTCTCCTATGGTCCACTCGATAGTAGCCATCATAGTAACGAGGACTCTCCATCCCCCACACGTCTTTTAATCCACACACGTATTATACAGCGAGGCGATCGTCTTCCCCTCTTGCAGTTGATGAAGGTTGAGGAAAACGTCTGCGATAGGATGAATTTGTATCGAGTACTCCGTAAACACCACCAGAACGCCAAACTATTTCCCGAGGTATCGCTAACACTAAACAAGGACTGGGAGAATCGAAACCGGAAGAGGGAGAAAATCAAGAAAGTTCATAAAGGGGAAAGAAACCGGGGGGGGAGCACGATAAAGAGTCTAAATCATCAGAGAGGCTGGTGGCACAAACCTATAGCTGCAAGTCGCGGCTTGGATGCCCACGGCGAATGGTAAATCGGGGAGCACCTAGAAAGTACACTCCCTGATGATCAGACGGAGGTTGGTTAATAAATACGTACCTAGATCAATTTAAAACGGTTGAGGTGCGATTCCTGCGGTTATTTCTGAAGCCCAGAAATACCACTCGGAAGCGCGGCTCGAATTTCATGGCCAGCATGAATCGATGCTGGGGTTGGATATTCTTGGAGGTAGCCCAACCGGAATCTTGAAGACCCGCTAGATGTACGTGAAAACGGGAAGGGACGAGGTGGGATGTTATCAGACAACTCATGACGAGCGGGGGCGCTTGACTTCTTGGTTTGAACTTTCGGGCACGTCGAATTCGTCGTCAGGCTCACGAAGACGCTTTCCAGCGGCGTGACTCGTAGAGGCACCCTCTCGTTCTTCATCAAAGTCGCCAAGGTCATCTTCGATTCCGAGGTCCAAGTAATCTTCATCTTCAAAGGGTAAGTCGGCGCCCTCATCGTTTCCCGCAGGTGTAGAAAGAGCATTTTCGGCGGTTTCACCAACTTCACCCTGCTCAATTACATCGTCGACTTCTGCCAGCTGTTCAACAGGCTCCGTGTCATCGTGAGGGCTTTTTAGGTCTTCTGTCACGCCTAGTGAGTCACCTTCCACATGTTGGGTTTTGTGGGACTGATTCAAGGGATCTTCATCCAGAGAGGACTCGGCAGCTACTTCGTGGCTATCCTGACCTTCAGCATCATCGGCGGCGACACCACCATTATTTTGGGAAGCATCAGGTTGCGTCTCCTCCATGGATGGCGGTTGCTCGTGATATTCTGCTTCTGGGCCGGTGTATTCTTCCGGATATGTCTCTGTTGAATCCGCTGCGTCCCCTTCAGGCCCCTCTAAAATATAACTGGGATGGGCCACGTCATCGGGTTCATCTCCCTCAAGGTACTCATCTTCATGATACTCATCCTCATAGTTCTCTTCATCATAAGGGCTCTCAGAAACTTCTGGATTTTGTTCTCTCTCAGCCGCATTGGCTGGGGGCAACGGCTCGAGAGTACTGGTGGATTCGGTTTTCTGTTCCTCTGAATGATGAGGAGAGTGTGGTGACTCAGGACGATCTTCGGCATTAGGGCCGTTATGAACAACCTCGCCGGTTTCAGTGTGCTCAATCTGTTCAGTTTCCTGGGATCCGGCACCATCTTGCTCGTCATTAGGTGCATCCTGTGAATGAGATGTAGACTGTAATTCGGGCTCTACCGAGCCTTCCTCTTTGTCTTCATTATCCAAGGCGCGCTGGGGTTCCTCCTGGTATTGTTCTTGGGCTGTCTCTTCGTATTCCGCGGAAACACCATCTGCATCGGGGTAAACTTCCCACGACTGGATCTCAGATAATCCTTTCCCCTCACTTGCAGCTAGCAAAAGATCCGACAGTTCCGCAGCAGCAGTTAGTTTAGTACTAAGTGTAAGATATAGGGCTTCTGGTTCTTCAATGCCATCATTGTGGCAAAAATGCAGATACACGTCTACAAATTGTTTCAGCGAAACTTTTTGTGTCTCGAGCGAGTCCTAAAGGTAGTTCTGTTAGCAAATGATAAGAGAACCCAGTGGTTTGGATAGCTTACCTCTGTTAGTTGAAAGTTGAGGGCTTCGATATCGATGACTAGCACCTCATTCTCATTTATGTGGTTTTGAAGGACTTCACGGCAAGCCATAAGCAACTTTCCAAAGGACTCATACGCAAGACCCTCATCTTCTAGGAAGAAGGTTTCCGAGGAATCGCCTTCCCTTGGAGGAAAAAGCGAAATCTCGTTGTCTTGATAGTAAACTTTGACCGGATGAAGGTGCGAACTTTGCGTTGAACCGCGGTCTTGTTCGGGTTCCTGATCATTGGACTCGGAGACTCGCTGCTCCTCTCTTAATTCTACATCCGCTTTGCCAAGGTCATCCTTAGACGGCTGAGCCTCGTCTGAGCCTTTGTCATTGTCCTGGGGGTTCTGCAACTCCTCAGGGGCCTCTTGCTGATCGTTGTTACGTATCGTTTGCGGCTCGACCTGTTTTTCTGCTTTCTCTGTTTGCTCTGTTTCATTAGTATTCCTGGCGCTTTCCTCGGGATGCTCGGATTCCACGTGGTCCGTCGCCGCCTTTTCGGCCAATTGTTCATCGACCAGGTTGTCGGCAGTCTGCTCAGGCTCAGGCTCAGGCTGTAACTTGGGTTGGGTCGTGTCCACAGTTTGCGTTTCCTCCTCAGGGTGCGATTCGGTATTGACGTTGTTATTATCATCGGCCAGTTGTTTTTGCGTTGGACTGGCTCTTTGGGCTTCTTCAATCTTCGCATGTTCTTCAATGGATGCAGGTACCTCAGAGCCCTTTTGTTCATGTTCCGGGACGGGGCCATCGAGGTCTTCATCGTAGTCATCTTCTAACATTTCCGCCTCGTATATCTTTCCTTCCTCGTCCGCATTCTCTTCTTCATACTGCATGTCGATGTTCTGGTTCGTTTCGGGGTAGTAATCGGCGTCGGTCATGGATGGCTCGGCTACATCGTCAACCATATCCTCATCGGGGATTCCATCTTGCCCTTGGTTTTCGCCATTATCCATGTATTCATCAGCTGTCATGTCTCTGTCTGGATTCGAAGCCTGATCCTCCATAACATCGATATCAATTTCGAAATCATCGGCGGGGCCCTGGTACGGTGAGGCCATCTCCATTGTGTCATCCATCAAAGGGACCTCCATGGTGGAAAACGGGAAGGGCGATGTGGTTGTCATGGCCCGGAATGAAGGTTTTTAAAAGGGCGCGTTGAAAGTTTTGAGTGGCGCTCCAGCCCAACATGTGTTGGTAGTGCCGTAAAGACAAGCTTACTCAGAATATTCACAGAAATGAAAATGATTTGGTTATTAGTGAGGAGAGAATTAAAATAAAGCAGGTCTCCCCAGGTGTGGCGGAGGTAAGTGATGGCTTTGTTCACAGGAGGCGGCAAGCTGGAAACGGACGTGTTTCGGGCAAGTTCACAAGGAGTAGTAAGCGAGTGGGTGCACGGACCAACAGGGGCCCGAAGAGAACAGCAAGCCAGACCTCCGCCGCCGATGGTCTGAATATCTCCGTTATCTGGCCTTCCCGGCAAAACAAGTCCTGCCTCACCCTCCCTCCTTCATTGCTGGTTCTATCTGAGCTGCAATTGCTTTACCGAACCTCGTCTCTGAAAGTTACTGACCATGGTATGCGTGCCCGCCCCCTTGAACCTGACCAGTCCTGCTCACCAATCCGCACAATCAAGGTCGTCCTCGCAGCGTCAATATGCACCCGCGGGGGCAAAGCAGTCCTCTCGCGCCAGTTCCGGGAAATTGCCCGCTCTAGAATTGAGGCTTTACTCGCGTCGTTCCCAAAGCTCGCGGATTCCGGTACCCAGCACACAACCGTTGAGCAAGACAATGTCCGCTTCGTCTACCAACCCCTCGACGAGCTATACATCGTCCTGATTACAAACCGCCAATCGAATATCCTGCAAGATATTGACAGCCTTCATCTCTTCGCTCAAGTTACTACCAGTATTTGCAAGAGCTTGGACGAGCGGGAAATCCTGCGCAATGCGTTCGAATTGCTCAGCGCATACGACGAGTTGGTGACCCTCGGGTATAGGGAGAACCTGTCGCTCTCTCAGATCAAAACATTCCTGGAGATGGAGAGTCACGAGGAGAGAATTCAAGAAATCATTGAAAGGGTATATAACCTGACGGCCGAATCGCGCTCGGAGGGAATGCTGACTGCTTGCAGAACAAAGAGCTCGAAGCAAGCGAAGAACGCAAAAGAAAGGCCAAGCAACTGGAGATGCAACGAAAAGAGGCGGCTCGCAATTCACGCAGCATCGCTCCCCGAACCCCGTCCTATCCTGTCTACACGCCCCCTTCGCGCCCTGCTGTACCCGACACCTATGACAGCTATGAAGCGGAGAAGAAAAAGGCCTTCGCCAAGTATGTTTTGACTACGCCTCCTTGACTGCTGACGTTATCTAATTGTTAATTCTTTCTATTCTATCAGACCGTTGCCTACGCGTGGAAAAGGAATGCAGCTCGGTAAAAAGTCAAAGGCTACCGATATATATGAGAAGGTCCGGGGTGATTTGGGGCCGGAGGCTGAAGAGTCAAGCCCCCTGGTTACACCCCAAGCGGCGACGCCAGTTGCCGACAGAGTGTCTTCCGCTCGCCCTTCACTCTCCGCGGGTCGGGAGCCAATTCACATTACCATTGCAGAGACCATTTCCGCTGCGCTCACTCGTGAAGGTGCACTTAAATCCTTTGAAGTGAAGGGTGATCTCCAGCTCCGTATTAGCGACCCTGCATTCACAAAACTTAAACTTGACCTTCTCGCAAACCCGACCCACGGTGCGCAGTTTCGCACTCACCCAAATGTCGACAAGGCTGTCTTCAGCAACTCTTCTGTCATTCAACTAAAGGATACTTCGAAGAGGTTCCCGGCTAATAACTCAATCGGCGTTCTTCGCTGGCGAGTTGCGGGTGCGGGCTCTGACAATGCAGATGTTCTACCCATCACATTTACGGTTTGGGTCAACAAAGGCTCCGACTCAACCACAGTTACCGTCGAGTATGAGCTCACAGGCTCTGACAGTCTCCGTGATGTTGTCGTCACCATCCCGTACGGCGCGAGTGAGCCAGCTGTGTCAAGCTTCGACGCTGTTTACGAAGTCTCGGGAGACAGTCTTGACTGGAACATTGGAAATGTGGATGAGGAAAATGCGTCTGGCAGCTTCGAGTTCGAATCTACAGGCGATGATGAAAATGAGTTTTTCCCGATGACAGTGCGATTCTCGAAGACAAACCCGTTTGTCGAGGTCGACGTCTCAGACATTTCCCTCATAGAGGAGGGGGAAAGCACTGGGTATTCCAAGGACGTCAAGAGCGTCGCAGAAGGATATCTTATTGAATAAATTGGTTTATGGGTATAACCCAAACTATTAATGATGATCGGGCGACCCTTTCTGTGTACGAAACAACTTATTGCGAGTTATTCTAGATTCTGCTAGCAACCCCTTTTGACCAAATGATATATTTTCAATCCAGACCTGCGATCTTTTTCCAAGCATCTCCAAAGCGTCTTCAATTAGCACTCCCATCGTCCGATCAGAGATCTCGCTGTTTCGAGTACATTATGGCGTAGCATGTCATTTTACGTTGCACTGTTGCTTATACTCCATTGCTTTTGAGGGGTTGCTCTTGCCTTCTCCCATCCTCATTCTATTCACCTTTCAGGAAGAAAATTGGCGCCACTCATTGACCAGGGCACTGCATACAACATGCCATTATCTTTTATCCACTCTCTAACTATCATCTTTTTTTAGCGCAGCAAAATAAGTAACATTTCTTCAAATTTTGAAGGCCCCTCTTCGCTCTTTAGGTATGCTTGTTTGCTGCAGTCCCATCCAATACCTTCGGTCAATTTTTAATCAATATAGATCATTCTATAGTTGTCTGGACCCTGTTGGTCATTGTTATACTATGGGCGGAGTAGATGAAGCGAAAAATATAATCGCTATTGAGGGTATGGACGGCAGTAATGTCCTGGCCGACAACAGGAGATACTCAAAACAGCCCCATCCCCAACGCAGTGGAATGGCCTACAATCCAGTAAGTTGTATACCCTTAATCGTGGCAAATGACATAAACTCATGATTTTTAAATTTCAAAGACTCCCCGGCTTGTCAATAACACGCCTCTCGTGTTCGCCAGAGCTATGCGGCAACTCTATCCCAGAAACCGAAATGTAGTGATTCCAAGGATGGGTCCTGTCCATTGTTCAGAAGGGAAACTCAGAAAAAAAAAGCAAGCACGCTTGTGATCATTGCAGGGCGAAGAGGATACGATGTACTGGTCAAAAGCCCGCAGTTTGTCAGGACTGCCGTAAGAACGGGTTGAAATGTCGATATAGCGATGGAAAAAGGGAACGAAACAGAAAGTATGTCCTCCATGTTTTGGCGAATGCTTTGCACCACTACTAACGCCAATGCGCATGTTGTAGGCAGCTTCAATCTCTTGAAAGCGAGTGTGCGAAATATAAAACGGCAATTCTCCAGCTGAACAAGCAGCTGGGCGTTGTCAGTCGCGAGGTGCTGGACAGTTTCGAAAAGAAAAACGCACGGACTTTATCCTTGTTTATCTTCATTTGAAGTCTCGCTAACTGAATCCAGAGCTCACCCTGCGGCGAGGGTCCCGATGGAGATACCGACGAGAAGCTTCACGCTACTATGGAGGACGTAGTGGAAGAACCCCCCGAGGAACTGCAATCCATGAGGATGGTCCGAAAGCAGGAGCAGCAAGATAGGGGAACCATACGACTATTCGCTGCAAGTAGCTCCCAGCCACAGCCGGAGACCTCTTTAAAGAGTAGTCCTTATATCCAGCCAGATACGCCTTTGACTCCATATTCTCCGAACCTGCCATTGAACCCTCAAAACTTTCAACTGCGGGACGTCACTCGATGCCCAATCCAGCCGATGGGTGTCAGGAACTTGATGGGAACAGAACCTTTCTCTTGCGGTAGTGGATATTACGCCCCCAATCCTAATCTCGTCTTTACTGGTTTCATCGAAGGATTTAACGCTTAGTACAGCAGTCAAGCCTGAGTAGGAATAACACATGCCTCTTCAATTCTTAGATCGTTCATTGTATATACATTTCATTCCATTCGTTCACCCATCTATAGGTGGGGTATATTTAATAGCGAACGCTACCAGATTAATCAGTCAAAGTCTGTCTCTCCACATATAAATCCGTGTGCCAATATATTCCGGGGGAGTTAAGAAACCTTCAGGTTAGGACTCCCAATTCCTTTTCTTCGCCGTAAACAACAGCCTCGCGTCTTCTTCGCGGAACTGCCCCGCAATACCCCCAGGCGACATCGATGGTATTCCGCTGATCCTGGATAAACGGAGATCCATTACGCATGCCCGACGATGAGACCTATTTGCCCATGATCCCAGAATATTAGGCCACGTCCTTTCACCTCCGCCCCTGCTCTCCTCTCCGCGCCAATAATTCAAATTCACACCCAGAAGACCTCTCTCGTCACCGACAAAGCCCTCAATGCAATCCAAGGAGGGCAGAAACCGGCGTCTGATACCACAGGCCGTGTGGTTCGAGTCTATTTGGTAATCTGGGCACTGTTTGAGGAGGGAGATTACTGATGTGATATCTAGAGGGCGCTCTTGTTGGTTCCTTCTTTCTGCGTCTGCATATGCGTTTGCATCTGCATCCGAGTCTTCGATGCCTTGGTTGAAATCTGGATCTAGGAGCGTGGACCCAATGAAGATGGTTTTTGTGCGGAGTGAGAAAAAGCGCGTCATTTGGCCGAGGTGGAAAGTGTCGCAGGCACTGGAGTTCCCGAGCGCGCAGCGGCATTGGTATTGACGCGATGCGGCGGTTGATGTTGCTGATGGGTTGTTGCGCTTGGGTGCACTGGGGTCCTCGAGTGCGCCGTAGACGCGGAGGAAATGTGCTTGGAGGTCGGTGATTGTGTCCAGCACGCATTGGCGGCGGTAGTAGAGTTCCTCTGTTGGTTGTCTAGTTAGCACGGTAATCTTTAACATGGGTGTGCTTTTGAGGATCTGGTCATACCTTCGATACCATTAGAGAAATAGTGCCAGCTGAGAGAACCAAGCTCTGGGGCTTCAAGGCCGTTAACCCAAAACCTTGATCCAGAAACAATGAGGGCATGGGTCAGCATTTGGAAGATAGTCCTGTCGTTTAGGAACCTTGCTATGAAGATGGATTGTCGGATGCGGTCCTCATTCAGCTTCAAGATCGAGGAGTTGAATTTAGTTAATGGGAGCTTCGGCTTTCCCAGGGTATAGCCCGAGCGCTTGAGAGCATCACGGACAGCTTGTGGGGAGTTGAAAGCATCGGCCATTTCTATCACCCCAGAAATGAATAATGGTCGTTGAGATTTGACTTCTGCATCAAAACTTTCCTTCTCTTCATCGCTGAATGAATTGAAGGATAGTATCCTGAGAAAGAAGCCAATGGTGTCTGGTCCTACGCGATGTGACAAATGATCATCGGGCATTCTCATGATTGGAAGAGCATCGTCATGTTCAGAGAAACCAGCAGCGTCTGTATCACCATTCACGTCCGGATCTACATCAAAACTATGCAGTTCCCGCTGCTTCATGAAGTTCCTGCCTTCGGAAAACTTTTGAGGATCCAGGAAAACATGAAAGTAAGGACTACTCTGGATCAGACTCTCACTGGAAACCTTCCAGTGGTGGGTAACTGGTGCATCTTTTGTGCCCAAAGATGTTTGCTTTGAGGGTGTATACTCCAAGATAAGGTCGCCGCTATCGACAATAACTTGCGTGTTTGTATTTGGCAGAGGCGACTTCGAGTTCTGCCCGTGTCCATTGGTTACAGGTACAGAGATTGGCGTCCCTGATCCAGACCTCGAGGATCTTTGGACTACACCTTCGCTATCAGAAAGTGATACATTCTGAAGCGAAGCATCAATCGATTTTAAAGATGGCAAGGGCGGGTATTCGGAATCCATGCCAACTTTCTGTTTTCTGCGGCCTTCAGCTGGGTTTATGTAAACCGTGTTTCTCTAGTCGGTACGGGATTTCGCGACACACAACATTTGTGTATAGCATTAGCGTCATAGAAGCGTTGCACCCAGACCCCGGCTTGGAACTAAAGCATACAGACAGCGGTTCAGCCGGCGAAATTCCAGGGCCACGCAACGTGAGAACGTATAGGGGATATTAGGCGCAGTCCATGCAAGCAATCAAAAAGGGGTTGAAGCTGGATATTTTGATATTGGAGAAAACAGCTGGCGGGGTGCGCTTGAAGCGATGAACAAAATGCAAGTCGCCTCGTATCATGTGATCTTTAGGTCCACCGATGTTTGTGTTTCCAGCCAATCACATCAGCTTTTTCTATACTAGATGTAAATACACAGTAACTTAGGAGGAATCTTTCAGTTTAATTGAGGCCTTCCAGAGTGGCTGGTGTTGGAATATTTCGTATGAAGAAAGCCGATACTGCGTTATACCAAGTAGTGTTCACCCAAACAAGCAACTCTTGAGAGTCCGGATTAAAGTCCTGAAACCTGGTTTTTACAGCCCATCTAACATTATTTCACCTGATCAACAGGAACTCAGCCTAAAAGACAGAATTACGGACAAAATTTGGATCCAATAGCCCGCCAGCGTTCCACACCGTTGCTATGTCTCCGCTAATTCATCTGTATCCTGCCTGCGTAACTGTCCACCTTGGGGTAATTTCCCACTAGAACTCCAAGGGCTCAGCAAATACTCATCGCTTTATTACTTTAGGCTTATGGCAAATGGGTTCAGGCCGGGAGTTCAGGTATATGGGTATTCTGAAAGAGGACTTAACCCTAACTTCCACCCACATTTGTCGAATCAGAATGTACTAGCCCGACTGGGCTAGTCTCTTTATGTAGTGTACTGCTGTATACTTCGATCTGAACCACAAACTGACGTAGACAGAGTCAAGCAATTATTTTATCTGCGACCGTGACCCAAAAGGTACTATAACTTGCTTTCCCAGATGGCTCCCAGGGTGGGCCCAGAGGTGGTAAGGAGGGGCTTAAAATGCTAAAATGCAGATTCAACCTTGCTGGTGTGAAAGTGAGCTCATAACTGCAAAAGGGCCTGTATGATATCGAAATGCTATCCTTTATTTAGCGAGCAGTGTATAGAGCGCTATATATGCAATAATAACACTTGAGTAGGCGACCAGAGAAAGTAAAACAGTGGGAGGTATCCGGCTGTAGAGACTGGGGAATCACGCAGTGGCTGAAAATAAGGCTCGAGTGATTTTCTCATACCTTGAGAGTTTGTAGTACGTAGGCAGGTGTTGTGTGACATGACTGCTAGTGCCTAATTCGTTGAGTCTTCCTTCCCAAAGTCAATAACAGTCACGTCCTAGGTCTTCCCTCTCTCCCATCTCATTTCTTCCCAAATCCCGCTCCGTTCCCCGTCCAATTCCCTATTCTCTTTTGCACAGCGATAATCCTGAATTTCGATCATGGGTAATAAAAAGTCAGGGCCCGATGTATTCGGTAAAGCTTTGGAAGATACTCTCGCTAGATCGGAGAATGAGGGAGCCTCGTCTTCTACTCGGTCTCTCTCTCGAACTGCTATACTCGAGGCATATCATGAGCTAGAGAAACGTATCAAAAGACCCTTCGCCTGTGGTGGTACTATTGACATCACTAATAAACAAGAATCCAGCCCAGCAGCCAAAAAGCAGAAAACAGATGCGTCGCCGGGACAGGCCTCCCCTCCTGTCAACTTATTCTGGGCTACGGAGGCCGAATCAACTGCACAGAAACTAGTCTTGCCATATGAAAGTACTTCGGCACTCCAACATCTTGTCAAAGAATGCGTACCAGCGACGTTCGGAAGAGGTGAAGCGGATGTCTTGGACCCTGAATACCGAAGGGCAGGCAAAATGGACCCCAACAACTTCGCTACCAGCTTCCACCCAGCCGACTTTGGGATTATTGAAAACGTGGAACGAGTCCTCCTTCCAAGCATAAACACAGAAAAGCAAAACAGCTTATGGTTTCGGAAGCTCCGTGCTGAGTTATACAATCTGAATGTATGGGCCAGCTCTAGCTAATACTTATCAGAATTCGCTAATGTAAGTGCGTCAAATAGGTATACTCTGGTCCATCCGGCCTATTTCGCAAACATGTGGATACACCGCGCTCTGAAAGCCAGATCGGCTCGTTGGTTGTCTGTCTGCCTTCGAAGTTCAAAGGAGGGAAGTTCACTGTTCAACATTCCGGACAGCATATTGAATTTGACTGGAGCACCCTAAGCGATGCTGCCATACAGTGGGCGGCATTTTACAGTGATTGCGAGCATGAAATTGAGACCGTCACTGAGGGTGAGCGCCTTACACTGACCTACAATCTATACGTGACAGAACCGCTGGATGTCTTCGCTGCGCCAACCAATATTATACAACCCAAATCATTGCCTCTATACGGCTTCTTGGAGGGTCTTATTGCTGAGCCTGCTTTTATGAAACTAGGTTAGCACAAAAACTATGATGAAAAAGCCCAGTGGATGACAGCACACTAACTGCTGATAACAGGCGGGGTTCTGGGTGTTTATTGCTCCCATGCTTATCCCCACAGCTCTGAACACGCAAGTGATATGCTTCCAATTGGTCTGAAAGGGGCAGATTTGGTGGTATACTCTGTGCTCGAATCTCTTGGCATGAAAGTGAAGGTACTCCCTGTTCTAAAACATGGAGAACGGGGAGGGGAAAAAATTGTTGGAAAGAAACTATGGGGGAGCAGAATGGAGGATAGGGAGGTTGACGAGGATATGGGTGACGACGAACTTGATGGGGTAAGTATAGAGCTACCCGGCCCTTGAGAAAAGCAAGAACCACACTGCGCGAGCACGGCCACTGACATTTGTTAATAGCTACTCGATTCTGCCTGGAAGGCCTACCGCATCAAAGGCATCACCTGGATCTCTAACCCGAAGCATTCGGAGCTGGCGCTCACTTATGTTGCTTACGGCAATCAAGCCAGTCTCGGCACTGTTTACTCATATGCTGCCATTCTTGCCATCATTCCCCCGTTCGACCAGCGAAGCGGTTCAGCGAAGTCATCTTAGTCACATGGGCAAGGAACTAAGTTAACTAACTGTTATGAAGGAAATATCGGGAGCCGCCCCAGCAACGAATTTCGAGCATGACTTCGTACTTTCACTTCAATCTTTACGGGACACAGCTGTTGCTTTTCTTAGAGCACCTCGGCGGGTACTATCCTCAATGTTCCCTTCATTACAATATGGATTGATTGTAAAAGTTAGCAGTATCGTTAGTTTGCATTGAGAGTAGCTGCAGTCTAATTGGAGTTTTTCAGTTCTACCCTAGTATATGCTGAGTTAGATATTATAACTAGACACCGTGAATTGGTGCCAGTAGAAATAGGCATGTATCTATCGCCAGTGAAATGACCGAAATCCATAAAGGGCAAATCAAGCCCCGGGTTCTAGGGTCTATATATGGTCATAGTCGGGGAAGAAAGTCTATCAAATAAAGCAGGTAAAAGTAACAGTAAAATCAGATATATATCCTGACCCCTCACTGTCTTTATTTCCAGGAGGGTGGGTTGATAGTAGCCAGGGGAAGTCATAGTCATAGATAGGTGAGAGGAAACAAAATAGGCGACTTGAACGTATGTTTCAAGGCAACGACACAACAGGGATATGTATGATATTAGGTCGTCGAGAACTTGCTTTCGTCCCTTGTTGTGAAGTTGCTGCAGCCCGTTGGCTAGCTACAGCGTCGCGAGCCCGCACACCTTGTCGAACAAGTGAATATAATCTATATGCAAGAGGGTTTAGGTCATCTGGTGGCAGTTCTGATGCTTCAGACGGCGTTCCAACCAGCTGTTGCTCATTTTGCGAGCTAAGCTTATGGGGCATCATCGAGAACAGCGCGGCGGATTGAGGTGGAGTATCATGCGCCTCGTCTAGATTGTGAGAACGCCGGGGTTTTTCATTCAGTGTCGAGACACCGGTCAATGCATCGATGTCGAGGATTTCTTCGTCGTTTTGTGAGACAATATGCCATGGCTCGCCACATACAAAGCCTAATACGAAATCCTGGTTGGCGTATGCCGCTGCCATGCAGCTCTTGCGGTACTCGGGGTTGAATACCGTGTCTGTGCAGGAGGGAAGGCAGAGGACAACACCACGTGCCAGGGACGGGGGCGAAGGAAGCTCGGCGTCCGTTGCGGGAGGCGGGGCGGCGCCGAAGTCCCAAACTTCCTCTGCTTCGGCTTCATTCAGTGCATCGCTCGAGTCCTCAGTGTGCTGAGTTATTGTCTGGGTGAGGGAAATAGTAGAAGCTTTCCTAGGGGGAAGTTCCAGGCTATTGCTACTGCTGCTTTCCTCCACCGCATAATTTGATGGTAGACGTTGGTGGTTCAAAGTTCCGTTTGGTTCCACCGTTGATGAGCTGTGCGCGTGGGATGGGCGGTCAGAAGCACTGTCCACAGTAATCTCCGTTCTAATGGTTTGGACTGCATCTGCGACAGCCTCTCTCGCTGCAGCCTTTAAAGTCGGGATCAAGATGTCTGCTGCTTGGTTGTCGATTGGTATACCAGATGCCCAGGCGGTTGAAACGTTTGCCCACGAGGCAGGTTTCACCACGCCCTTGGTGTATTTCTTGCGGATCAAATCAACTAACACATTTCTCACCTCTCTGGACTCGGCTTTTTGTCGACCAACAACACCGATAGTGGAGTTCAAAATTCGACCACCTTCCCAGATCAGAAACGCATACTTTTTGGCCAGGAGAGTCAACTGGCGGATGGTGTCCTCGGACCAGTCGTCGATAACGTCCGCATGGACCTGAAGGACAGAGATATATGGGCCAACAAGTGATGCTAGACGAAGAAGCGCGTCCGTGCTCGTGACGGTGTGAGACGGAGCTACACAAACGGGTAGTCCATAGGGCAATCCCTTTTTGGCTTCAGCCAAGGATCGGATGTAAGCGATCAAGCGGTTTCCTGGGAGAGCTGGGCTCCCCAGGTTCGAGGAGTCCATTGAAATGGTAGTTTGAAGATCGAAGCCGGCGTGGTATCGGAATGCAGACACGCGGGGCGACTGTATCGACTGGTGTTCTCTTCCGGAGCTCGAGCAGGGGGAAAGAAGAGAAAAGAGGGTCGAGAAGGAGGGGGGGGGAGAGAAGGAAGTTTGTGAATAAGAATCTGGAACTGAGCTAAAGCAGGGCTAAGTTGGCTAAGTTGGCTAACTGATCCTGCGGACTCTCCAGTTCTGCGGCCAAGACGAGGGATTGACAGCTTGTTAGGAGGATCCCCACCACTTCGGCGTTGGCCCGTTCAGTGTGTCCAGATCAGACGGAAATGGCAAATGGGCGGCGATAGCGGTGTGGCTACCTGTTGCCCAAGGCCAGCTTTAACCTTCAAGCGATGGGAAAGCTCGGGGCGACGGAGAGACCCGAGAATGAGTGAGACAACAAAGAAAGTCGCAGCGGGAGGAGAGAACGAGGCCGGAACGGATGACCCCTGGAGCTTGTATAACTGGTCAGCCGTGAAGATCGCCCTGGGGTCTGGACTCTGCAATTCTGCATGCTATCAGAGTCTTCTTCTGTCTTTTGAGCTCCAGAAAGTACGAATTGCTTTATTTTTAGGTGGTGATTTTTACATCTTTTTACGAGTTGCTTTTTCCTTACTTCGAGAGACAGCTACCCCTCTGTGACCAGTCAGTTCGTCCCCTCAGTCTGCTTCTCAACACCCCAACTATTTGGAGACGGGGCAGATCCAAGAATTGCCGGCTCCGGGACGGGTGTTCCGGGCCAGGGCGCGCAAATAAGATTAATATCCCGAAGGTCCATGATCGCCCCAAAGCGCGTTTCCAATTCCCAGCTCCTGGGAGGCACGATGCCTTAGCCTCGCTTTGTCTTCCACGCTTAAATGTCTAAAAGGTAGGCAATTCGATCCAGATCTCAGTACTTTTGAAAGGGTTGCGAAGAGAACCCTGGACAGTCTACCGCGGATGGAAATATGGCGCCCGCAGTCCTCGATGCATCTTCGAGGTATACGTGCGTATAGTTCGTAGAAGTAGAGGAAGACTGAGTAACAATCATACGGTCCCATCATCCCATGCTTGGGTGCCCGCTCAGGGGCTGTCCCAAACAGGTTTAGTGGTGCCAAGACCCGATATTTTGCATCCCCAGACTACAATCAACGATTCTTCAAGCCTTGTCCTGATTGCTTTGAACGCCAGCAAGAAGCTTGATAGTCAATCTCAGAGTCAAGCGTCTGTCTGCCTGGGTATCTTCTTTTTCCCCCGTCTTTGTTTGCGTGGTTGCACGGTTGCACAGTGTCCTGCGCTACTTGCACGGCTGCTGAATAAAAACTTGCCTCGGAGCGTCCGGAGCCCGTCCCTGAATATTATTTTTCGAGCTCACGCCACCCACCCCTTCGTCTCAACCCATTTATTACCCGCTGCCTGCCACGAACCCTCTTTCGTGCTGTTCTGATTACTCCTGCCCGGCGCTCAACTCCAGTGTCACCCTTCTTCACCCTATATTCGACCTTCGATTACCCCCCCTTTTCGATGATAATGCCTGGGAGGATTCTGCCTACCTTCACCAAGGCGGAGGTTGAGTCGCACAACAGCGCCGACTCCTGCTATGTGACCTTGGGCTCGAAGGTATACGATATTACTTCGTTTGTTGAAGATCACCCTGGAGGTGGAGAACTGGTTCTGGAATACGCCGGCAAAGACGTGACCGAAATCCTGCGGGATCCGGTATCCCACGAGCATTCTGAATCGGCATACGAGATCTTGGATGACAGCCTGGTAGGATTTATTGGTGCCGAATCAAGCGCCAAATCGGCAAATGGATCTTTGGCAAATGGCAATAAGGAATCCCGGCCGGTCTACGCCTCCACTGGCATGTCTAACGAGGAGGACTTATCCGTGGATACAGACCCCAACCAGGACTATAAAAAGCACAAATTCTTGGACTTAAATAAGCCTCTTCTCATGCAGCTGTGGAATGGCGGGTTCAGCAAGGATTTTTACCTGGACCAGGTTCATCGCCCACGCCACTATAGGGGAGGCGAGTCCGCACCTCTCTTTGGCAACTTCCTGGAACCCTTGAGCAAAACTGCTTGGTATGTTGTGCCAATCGTATGGATGCCTCCTGTCATATACGGGACGATCATGGGAACCGCTGGGCTGGGGAGCACTCCTGCCGCCGTGGGTTATTGGATCTTTGGCGTCTTCTTTTGGAGTTTGATCGAATACTTTATGCACAGGTTCTTATTCCATATCGATAAGTACGTCATCATTCTACTAGCTTCCTGGCAAAGTACTAACCTGCCCTAGGTTCCTCCCTGACAACCGAGTCGGAATCACCCTACACTTCCTCCTCCACGGCATCCACCACTATCTTCCGATGGATAAGTACCGACTTGTTATGCCGCCAACTCTATTTGTTGTCCTGGCTACCCCTTTCTGGAAATTTGCCCACACGGTTCTATATTACAACTGGTATGCTGCCCTGCTGGCATACTGCGGCGGCGTTTTCGGGTATATCTGCTACGACGTAACACACTATTTTCTTCACCACCGCAAGTGAGTAAACCAGAGATATTATTGTCTCAGTGAACAATCTTCTGACCTTGTCGTTTTGTTCCAGTCTTCCTCCATACTACAAGGAGCTCAAGAAGTATCACCTTCAGCATCACTTTGCGGACTTCGACAATGGCTTCGGTGTTACAAGCCGGTTTTGGGACAGGATTTTCGGCACTGAGATTGAAATTCCTCCTCCCAAGGTTCTGAAGACCCAGTAGATATGGATGTTGTTAATCGTCTATACTTCAAGTGGTCTATCAGTCCGCTACGTCTCCCCACAGAGGGGGGATGATCTTCCCTTACGAAATAACGTTGTGGTTGCATTGATGTTATTGACTGTTACTTGCATTGGAGTGGGAGTACTCTATCCCCGCTTCCTTCCTATAATTCCCTATATGTATAGCTAATCTCCGCCCTTTGGTCAAGGGTTTGTCTCTTTGTCTCGATGTTTTTCTCTGGCCAACCCACTTCCTCACGCTTCATCATCTCAATGACTGTATGCTTTTACTTAATACATAATAATCAACTACTCGCCAATCGAGTTTCAAATAAAAAATTGTTTTTGAGCAACTGGGTAACTTTTATTAAATTCCTCATCGTTCCCGCATCATTATTTAGAAATTCCAGACCTTTTCGCCCCTCATAGATCCATGGTTCATTTTGGAGACGAAAAAGCCAAGGAGGCAACGCCAAGTTCCACGTGACTGCACTATCGCACTTCGTCGGGCTGCATCCCGACCTCATTTCTCACACCCATTTCATCCCAAAGGGTATTCACTGCCAGAAATTCGACAGGCCGTCATAATTCTACTATTCATACATTCAAACGCCCACTGAACGCCATCTCTCTGGCCCAAATTTCTATCAGATCGCAAAATCGCGAAAAGATTTGCAGAGGGACTGGGATTGAAACAGAAGGGTTCGCTCACAAGACCGCCTGATTCGCCTTCGCGCTCTAACGAAGCCAAAAGTGATCCTAACCCTTTCCGCGCGATTTATTCCATCTCCTCAGTTTTTTTCTTCTTGAAGGAGGATTCTCAGCCTATAAAACACCATGTCAGGTCTCGACGTTGAAGCTCTCCTCGAGTCCACAGCCGCTCCGGCAACCCAGGACCGCGACGATCGCTCCTCATCCAAGGCCGAAAATGGCGATCGACGCGACGACCGTGATCGCTCGCGTGACAGGGACCGCAAACGCCGAGATTATAGCCGTGATAGACGACGCTCAAAGGATGCCGACGGAGATGATACCATGAAAAGCCCGAGAAGCGAACACGGCAGTGCTAACGGAAGCCATAGAAGTAGTAGGAAGAGGAGCAGGAGCCGCGATAGCGACCGTCGCCGGGCTCGCCGTGACCGTCACGGTGATGATTACCGCTCGAATGGCGACTTCTACCGTGGCGGTGGACGTACTCGCACCCGATCTCGATCCCCTTATGATGACAGATACTACCGCCCCTCGGGCCGTTCTCGCCGAGATGAACGTGATGAGGAAAGACGTCCTCGTCGTGAACGCGATACCCGCAAGCGAAGTCGCTCGCGAAGCCGTGACAAAAGTCCGGAACTTAACGAAGATGAGCGTGATAGGCGTACCATTTTTGTGCAGCAACTCGCGGCAAGACTGAGAACAAAAGAGCTCATTGCGTTTTTCGAAAAGGTCGGGCCGGTCAAAGAAGCTCAAATTGTCAAAGATCGCGTTAGTGGAAGGTCCAAAGGGTGAGTGTTCTACTTCCATTATGTCTGTTTAAAAAAGACTAAAGCTAAACAAATTCTCTTATAGTGTCGGTTATGTCGAATTCAAAGACGAGAGTTCCGTTGCGCCCGCTATCCAGCTTACAGGACAGAAACTTCTAGGAATCCCAATCATTGCACAGTTGACCGAAGCCGAAAAGAACCGCCAAGCGCGCAACACCGAGACCAGCAGCAGCAACAAACACTCCGCCCCCTTTCACAGGCTATATGTGGGTAATATCCATTTCAGTATCGATGAGAGTGACCTCCAGAGTGTCTTTGAGCCGTTTGGCGAGCTTGAATTTGTTCAACTACAGAAGGACGAAACCGGAAGAAGCAGAGGTTATGGTTTTGTGCAGTAAGTTTCATCCGGCAGTGGGCCAGTTTCAAATTGCTAACTCTTGACTACAGATTCCGTGACCCTAACCAGGCTCGGGAAGCGTTGGAGAAGATGAATGGCTATGACCTTGGTGGTCGAGCCATCCGCGTTGGCCTTGGCAACGATAAGTTCACCCCTGAGAACACTCAACGTGCCCAGAGCCAAGGTGCAAGCCAAAGTAACTTCCAGGGCTCTATGTTCTCAGGCTCCGGCGGACGTGGTGTTCAGGCCGGGGGCACAAATAACTTCGATCGTGCAGGAGGCCGTGAGTCTGAAAAGGGAACCGGCGCGAGTGCTTTGGATGACACGGACGTTGCCGGTGTGAACTTCAACAACTTCAGTAGAGACGCATTGATGAGGAAGCTTGCAAGAACAGATGAACCTGCTGAGCCTTCTGCGGACGACAAGCCGCAGAAGATTCTCCTACCGAAAACTGAAACGAAGCCGTTGCCCGTAAATGTCAACATGGCAAGCCGGTGTGTTATGCTTCGTAACATGTTCGACCCAACTGAGTTCGTACCCCGACCGACCATATTTTCCATTATACCATTTGCTAACAAGATAAATAGGGAAGAGGGCGAAGTTTGGATCAAGGAGTTGGAGGATGACGTCCGCGCTGAGTGCGAAGAAAAATATGGCCATGTTGTTCACATTGCACTAGATCCCAATTCCCAGGGCGACATATACCTGAAGTTTGACCGCGTCCAGGGCGGAGAAAACGCTATCAAGGGTCTCAACGGACGATTCTTCGGTGGTAAACAGATTACTGCGCAACCCGTTGTCGACGCTGTTTACAGCAGCCTGTTCTCCCGAACAAAGGCCATCTAAGTCTCCTACCAGTGACCCATCCACCTACCGCAATTTTCTTTACGGTAATGGTAGGTATTCTATCTAATTTCTGTCTACCAGGTGCGACATGTGGACCGCAGGACCTACCGGATCACAACCTCACTGAACCGGTCTTGTATGACACTACCCCTGGTAGGTGCTAGTTCTTTCTCGACATCTCGCTTCCTACGGTTTTGAAGGCCGAAAGGCTTGATGCGCAATGATTTGTTTATAGGGCTCTCTGTATATTTTTTTCTAGCGCAAAATGGTTCCTTATTTATCGCTATCTTAGTTTGCATATCGCTCTCTAGAAATCCGAAAGTTGGTGTTCATTCGTTTCGAACCCTAATTGTAGATTGAAGTAATGCTTTTCTGCGAGCACTCAGACTGGAATAACCGCTCAAGACAAATGCCACCTGCAGAGTCTAGAACAATATACTAGTGAAGTATGCCTAGCCTTAGTGTCTAATTGCGCCTGTTTATGTGTTTTCCAGTTCAGGCTATCAGCTACCTTCACCAACAGTTTACTCGCTATGTGAATGCTTTCTGAAGACCAAAATAAAAATTCAGCTATCTGTCTAGAAAATTATACCGTTAACTTGGTAAAACTATATTCGGAATCAATATTTTGTATTATAATAGGTTGAAGAGCAGAGGCAGGCATAGTAATAATGGAAAATGAACTCGCATGAACTTGACCTGTCGCCAGATGTGAAGTGTGTTGATCCACCACGGTATATTAGCTGGAGAGTATCCTTTGTTCTGCTTCCTTGGTGTTATAGACATTTATCTGATATCTCCCATCTTCCTGGCCTTGTCTTGCTGCCTCTCTTAAAAACTCCCACGTACATTCCCAGAAACAGGTCCTCAGTGATATTGGCATCTCTTGAACATCTACATCTACTAGGTCATTCGAAAGAGTCGTTCAAACCAAGATTTAAAAGGGTAAGAATATACCACTTGTGTTTCTTCTCTTCTTTTTCTATTCCTAACGTCTTGTTCTGTTCTATCCATCTAGATGCCGATGAACCCGCTCCCTCCCTCACCGATGGCATCCAACACTGCCAACTCAAGTAACGGCAGCCCGGGCCCTAGCGTCGAGTATGAAAAGCTCAGCTACGAGACTGAAAAGAAGAGCAAGTTTGAAACCTCCGGCAATGCAGAGATAGAGTGTCTCCATCGTGAACTTCATGACTCTCGCCAGCGCATCGACCGCGACACTAGTGTCATCAATGCCCTACACGAGAAAGTCACCGAGCTAGAGGAACTCGTCAAAAAGCAGAGGGTTACCATCAGTACCCAGAGCAAAGCAATCTCTGACCGTCGAGTTCTGAGGAAGAGTCAGCAACAGCAGCAGCAACAACCCCAGCCGCAGTCGCCTATGGGGCCTGCAATGGGTGCTGGGATGGGTATGTTCCCAATGACGCCCGGTGGCCATCACCAGCAGCAACACAATATTCACCAGAGTCAATATCTTAGTTCTGGTGCATCGGGTTCTTCAGCCGGTAGTATTGGCGCTGCCACCGCTGGTGCTAGCACTTGTGTTAGTGGTGTAGTTTGCATGCAGAACACCTCTTCGCCGTTCGAGATGCAAAGTCAGATCCAGACTCCTCAATCTGTGAAATCGTTTGATCCCACTACTCAGTTCAATACCGTATTTGATCTGCCTCCCCCCAAGTTTGAGATTTCAGCCGGCCCATCATATACTGCTCATACGCCCGCTGTCCCGTCTGACCTAGCTCCCAACCTTGAAAGGGGCAAGGACGTATTTAACCCCATGGGCTATATCACTATTGCTAATATGACTGGACCCGCACATTCGGATGCCTCACTAGGTGCGGTTAATTACCATCAAGACATGGCGAACTTCTCGACCCGGTTCTTGGGGCTCATGCGCATGGCTGAGATCTTCGGCCAGACTCATGCGAGCTTGCCCAACATCTTTCTGGACAGTCGCCTTGATGACCCTGTCAAAGACTATCTTATGGCTGTCTCGAGCCGATCGCAGGCATCAATTCTTATTGGAAATGCATCTACCCGAGGCTTCTTCGTTGCGAGAGCGATCAACTGGTATCTCATTGAGAAGGTCCTAAAGATAAACATTATCAGGGGTCTCGATGCTGCCGTTGACATGGAAATTGGTGAGATGCAGAAGCAGATATCTTCTGGTGAGTGTTCCTTTATCTCTCTTTTTCTTTCTTTCCTCCCTACCCGATACCACTACAGTTTCCTATCGCGATCTACATAACCCTAACTAACTGGCTGAACACAAAGACACCTCAATCGGCATCCGCCACCTAATGCTCAACGCAATGGCAAACCACGTAAAATCCCTTTCCAGAAGACCCGACTTCAACACATTCGCCAAAAAGAAAATCCACCACCACACCACCAAGCTCTGGTCATTCATCGGACCCCTCGGTCACGACTCAGCCAACCAAAACAACATGTGGGTGGACCTCCAAGCAATCATAGCCGAAGCTCACTGCCTCGCTGTCGAGATGTACTCCCTACCTTTGGAATACAGGTTCGAGTTTCCCGAACACAATGAGCCGTTTGATCCGTTCACTATGATCAACCGCGATCCCTATATCCATGGCGATCCGCAGGTTTTGCAGAGCGGCGATGCGAGGGTCAGGTTAGCCATTACGCCTACTGTGCGGATTCGGAATAACTCTCAGACTCCTGGAGAGGTTCATTTGATGTATCTGGGTCATGTGTTGTTGAAGGTGTCGAGGACACAGTGAGGGAGGGGGCTTGACTGCTAAGGTTACTGTTTTATTCAGTTGATTTGATTTGATTCACTGAAAGTTGTAGCGTCAAAGAAAGTGAATGGAGGTCTTAATTGGTCAAAAACGAAAACAGAAAGAGAGGGGGAGAAGAATAAGTGGCAAGAGTGGGAATCTCAACTGTGTTAGAAGCGATATTTGATCATGGATTTGCTTTTGCTTGGCTGATGGCTGTTGTGATAGTGATTGCACCCTGCGATCTGGGTTATCGTCACTTGTTTCCATAATTTCCTTTCTCTTCATATCTGACGCCGTTTTTCTCTTTACTCCTCAATTTGTTATGTAACTTGATTTTCCTCTCCCATGGGTGGTGGGAAATATGAAAGATTCGCGACAATTCATACTTCCATTCCGGATATTCTCGTAGGCATCCAGGTTCAGCTCTATTGCGCCCATGGAAGACCCGAGGAGGCCGAACAGCAAAAGCAGTATTCTGCCAAGAATTCCAAGTTAAAATAAAGAGAGAGAGAGAACCAAAGCACCTGCAAGATTCCATGGCAGCCCCGACCCCGAAAACATCAAAAACTTGCAATAGAAGAGAAGAACACTGAAAAATCAATAGTGGCTGTTGATTCATTTTAGTGAGATATTACTTCCGTAAATGGGGCTGTGGTTTAGTGGTATAATGTTCCCTTAGCATGGGAGAGGTCCTGGGTTCGATTCCCAGCTGCTCCACATTTTTGCATTTTTGAAATTCATATCTACTCTCTCTCAATACATACTTCTTTTTTTATTTTTTTTTTCATAGTTTGTGACGTCCTACATTTCCATTGGTGTCTTTTATGACCGGCTGGTTGTTATCCCATACCAACATCATTATTTACTTAATTCCGTGAATATAAGACAAACTGGCCAATCCCTCAGGGCTGCCAGCACTGCTTAACAATCAGGTATACCAGGTGATAACACACTTCATTCTGCTATATAGTTTGCTTTAGAAAGGGATACGCGTCGGGAATTCCTGATAGCTGTATATTAGATTGGTGGTGGTACCCTCCTTGCAAAGTGAAACTATACTACTACCCAAGTAGGAACTAGGAAGTTGCGACGGGACCACAGGAATAGTCAGGAGCGAGGGTCGCATCGCACCTCCCCTTGGAAATGAAATAAACATTGTAATATGGGAAGGCGCGACTTTCCAAATAGGAAGGAGCGATAGTTCCCCAGGCCCTGGACCCTGGACCCGCCATCGCACCTTCCCTTTGTGAAATAAGCATCGTAATCTGGAATCTTAGGAAGGCACAGCCACCTGAATAAGAAGGGACGATGGTCACCATTGTACCTTCCTTCTAGGGCGAAATAAACGTTACGGTCTGTACGCGGTGCAATTACTATATGGAGAGGGGCGTAGCAAAATTGGTATATGAACCGGGATCATAGCCCTAATTGTAACGCTTAGCATAACGATGTACCTTCCCTTAAAGTCAAGTTTATTAACTCCAATTCTTCTGTTGTATACTGAGCGCACTTTGTTTCCAGGTGTCAGCCTATATATTTCTGTTCGCCTGCCTTGTCGGGCTGTAAACACTTCAAGGTCCAGATGAATATTTATTTGGTATCGGGATGTAGCTATACCCTAACTCTGGGTGGCTCCAGTCTGGGTTATCTACTTCGGTCGCTTCATCTACACCAACGACGGTATTTTGTAGGTTTTTCGAGTTGCAATTAATGTATTGATAATTAGTTGAGTCCCCAGATATAGTTGTTACTTTTTGCTCATTATGTTTGCAAGTTATTGTGGTTTGTTAACATTCGAATAATTGGGCTGGTTAAAATATATATCGTTGGGATAATAAACCAAAAGGCGCTACCGCGTAGGGTAAAAAAAAAAAAAAAAAAAAAAAACAAATAATAGGAGAATTTACTCATATATATGAAATCTAAATAGAAAAGAAAGCAAAGAAAAAGAGAAATAAAGCTCAAGCATTCCGCTCCCACGAATTCACTTCGCCTGTGATGCTTCCATCATCACTCCTGTTGTAATACTTCTTCTGCACGCCCACCGATTCGTGGCTCGCATAATTAACTTGCTGCCATGGTTTCTGTTGCTGAAATTGTAAGGAAACATCGGACCCAGCCTTGTTGCTGAAGGACTTTCGGCGACTCCCACTTGACCAGAGCTTGTATATCGAGGAGCCAAAGTTTTTCGGCCAGTATTTGTCAACAAGGGGAGGTAATAGAGGGAGGCAAGAACATATTATACCGGTATAGGCTTCGATTGTACTGCTCATATATATGTTCTGTTAGCCAGAGTCTCAGTTATGGGTGGAGAATGGTGCAGATAGAGAGGCTTACGCCCATCGCGAGATTCGAGATATGTTCCAGGTTGCATCTTGGCTATCTGTAAGGACGTGTGTCATCGCGAGTCTCACTACACTTGCGGCGAAGGCACTGGCCGGTATAAGTGATTAGCTACCAGATAAGTAAAGACGAGACTGGTTGGGACGTACAAGATTCCCAGACCAAAGACAGCCGCGAGACGGATCCTTTTCCGGGTAGTCATATTTAGCCCCCAGAGAGTATGTATCGGGAGAAGAAGGACATAGAGATCAGTGGCTGAGCTCAACCCGCCAGAGACATAGGGCAAAATTCTTGGGTTCCAGCAGCGGCCTGGAGAGGCGGCATCCCAGGCATGGCTGACGGGAGAGCAGGAGAAAATAGTGAGAAAGAAGAGAGTGAGGTGAGAGACAGAAACGAACGCGATACCGAAGCTAATGAAATATCTGATATTGATATGACGGGGAAATATGCGGTAGTAGAAAAAGAGAAACGCGAGTTTAACGGCGGCCGTCAGGATGGTATAGATGTATTGGGCGATAGTGAAATACTTGAGAGTTCTTGAGAGCCAGATTATTGGCACATCCCACATATGGCGTCCAATACCCCTAGAGAAGCCTGGAATAGAAGTTAGCCTCCGCTGTAACCATTTAGATGCACCAAGCATACAGTAGGACATTAGGCCTGTAAATGTGATGGCCAGGCACTGCCAACGTTAGAATGGATTGCCTCATGTGTAGTCGGAGTGGGAAACTACATATGCCAGGACACAAAAAACTGTATCCTGAGGATTAGCAAAACAATCAGAGCCGGACTATGGTTGAGGCTTACAGTCGTCTATCCCCAGCCTCGTGCGCAGCGTGTAGAGGCGGGTAAATAGCCTCATGGCCACCGCTAGGGTGGCCACCGAAAGAAAGGCCGTATGAAGGGCGATGTTTCCATGTAACTGACTGGGAGGATCAACAAAGTTGGCCTCGATTCCTGGCGGAGGAGGAAGGGCGCCACCGGTAAACCACTGGGTAGCCATAGTGAAGCTTTGGGATCCAAGACAAAGAAACGGGAAATGAGAAGGATCCACGGTATAAATCGCAGACATCCTCCGGCTGAGAATAATAAATCTGCGGCCCCCAACGTCAAGGTGTCACTGCAGCCACAGCCTTGGGAATACTTGCCTCCTCTCCTCTCCTCCAATCTCTCCAAGTTCCTTATTTCTTCTCCCTCATATCTTCTTGTTTTTCGCCCTCCATATTCAAAAAACAATACAACACTCCTTTCACCTGACTACTAGACAACCGTGCCATGATCGCCTACTTACTCTCCTCTAGTCTGTGGACGACGACGCTGCTCGCCTTTGTCGCCGTACGATCCCTGCTTCAGCAGACAGTTATTCTGATCTGACTCATCTTTTAGTATCGTCTTGTCCTGGTCGTCTACAACATCTATTTCCATCCACTGTCCAAGGTCCCGGGCCCTAGTGCGTGGGCTGCATCCCGACTTCCATTCATCTACTCCCTAGTCAGTGGGACTAGTATCCACGACTTTCGAAGTCTTCATGAGCGCTACGGGCCCGTCATTCGTGTCGCTCCAAACGAAGTTACATTCGCCCACCCTGATGCCTACACGGACATTTTCCAGCCTCGCTCTGGCCACGGTCAGCAGCAGCTCCTTAAAGATCCGCTGTGGTGGGCGCGCCAACCTGGTCACCCGGATTCGTTGCTCAGCGTGATTAGCCCCGAAAAACACGCGAATATGCGGCGTATCCTCAGCCCAGGTTTCACTGCACGCGCGCTCCGCCAGCAGGAGCCATTTATTCAGAAATATGTCAATCTGCTCGTGTCGCAGCTGCAAGATGTCGTCGGAAAAAGTAAGAGCACGCAAGTGAACATGACGCCATGGTTTAACTACACCACATTTGACATTTTCGGGGATCTTGGCTTTGGCGAGTCCTTTAACTGTCTTCAACATTCAAGGTACCATGCATGGATTGCTTTGTTGTTTGGCAGTGTCAAAGCAGCTGGGTTTGTTATATCCACACGATATTACCCGCCCATTGCGTTCATTCTGCAAAAGTGCATTCCACCTTCGATGAGAAAGATACAGCAAGATCACTATCAGCAAATTGTGGACAAGGTACAGCGTCGACTGAGTTGGGAGCTGCAGCGCCCTGACTTGATGTCTTATGTTATTGAAGAGGGGGGCAGTCTTAAACTCGATGCTGGTGAGCTGTACGCGACGTTTATGATTCTAACCACAGCAGGCAGTGAAACAACGGCGACAGCATTGACCGGGACATTTAACTATCTGGTGAATCACAGTCCCAAAAGTCTTGACCAGTTAGAGAACGAGATTAGAAGTGCTTTTTCAAGTCCGGAGGAGATTACAATCGAAGCATTGCGCAAACTCCCCTTTCTCAACGCAGTCATCAATGAGGGCCTCCGGTTATGTCCACCAGTCCCATGGATCCTTCCCCGCCTCGTCCCAGAAGGAGGCAGCATGATATGTGGGACATGGCTTCCAGGCGGGGTATATGATCTTCCTCTTTTTTTTTTTTTTTTAATAGTGTCTGTAGAGATGGCTAACTGGAGAATCTAGACACCCGTCTCAATCCAAGCATACACTCTGAATCGCGATCCAACGCTCTTCCACAAGCCCAATACTTTCCTCCCAGAACGATGGCTAGAGTCTTCAACGTCTGACTCTGCCTCTTGCTTTTTTGGCGACCAGCGCCAGGTGATCCAGCCATTCACTATCGGACCCCGTGCATGCCTTGGGCAGCACCTCGCATGGGCTGAAATGCGGCTAATACTCGCCAAGCTCGTATGGATGTTTGACTTTGCGGCGATCGATGGCCAGTGTGTCAGCTGGGAGGACCTGCGCATGTATTTGTTGATTGAAAGGAAGCCAATCAACGTCGGGATCAGCTTACGGAAGGGAGTACAGCAGGGGTTCGAGTAAGCCGTGCAGGTGATAGATCTCGAAATACTATATACGGGAGAGCGGAAGCTGAGTCCAGTCTACAGGATGATTCGGGGATGGAAGGTCTCGGAATTGTTTCAATTGGACAAACGGCCATTGCTTGCGCAGCCGCCTGTCATACCATAAGCACAACTCATACCTCAGCCTTGTGTGAATGAAACTGGGGAATTAGGCACTCCTTTCATTAAGTCCGACCAGCTCGGACTCCGAAGCGCCGAATAGTACGGTCAATATTCTATCTTCAGTGGTCGGCAAAACAGAGCTTCGAGACCACAGAAATGCTCTTAAAAAGGCCATACTTCTGGTTTATCTTCATTGGCCAAGTAATCTCCCGACCTGAATAGCGGCCGCTTTTGTAGTCCTAGTAGCAACTCATACTTTGATTCTTCCGATGCACAGGAAGAGGCAGCGGCTCTGTAATTGTCGGTGTATCACTCGTACTCCATAAGCAGCCTAATGCATATCAACTTATCAGTATCAAACATAAAAACTGCATACTATATTTCCAAACAAACATGAACCTGCTCCATTACAGTCTATCAATTACTCCATCAAAAAAGAAACAGGAAGAGAGAAAAGCTGATGAAAATGGCTCTCATATCCCTCCTCACACTTTCGATACCTCCATTGGCCCTTTCGATTTTGATATACAACATCATCGTCATCATCTACCGTCTCTATTTTTCACCTTTGGCTAAGTTCCCCGGCTCCAAGCTTGCCGCCGCAACGGGCTGGTATGAGTTTTATTTCGACTACTGGAAGGATGGGAAGTACATTTTTGAGATCGAGCGGATGCACCAAGTATACGGTATACTACCCATTCACCCATCCATGGCGGGGTCTCGTTCTGAGAGAAACAGGCCCAATCATCCGCGTCAACCCAGACGAGCTCTCCATCCACGACCCAGACTTCTACAACGAGATCTACGTAACAGAAAGCAAGCGCCGGACAAACCACTACGATGTATTCTGCAAGGGAATCGATTTTGACGGTAGGTCACCATTCACTATACCGCACTCTATCCCACCACTAACAGAATCACGTCTATCCAGGCTCTCACCTCCTAACAGCAGACCACACCCTCCACCGCAAACGCCGCAAACCGCTCGAACCCTTCTTCTCACGCGTGAGCATCCAGGCTCTGCAGCCTATGCTTGCAGAGGTAACGCGCAAATTTGAACAGCGTCTGTGCGCTCTCGCAGGAACGGGGGAGATCGTGAGGCTTGACCACGCCTGTGCTGCGTTTTCGGGTGATATTATCGCGAAGATATGTCTGGATGATGCGGCGGAGGGGGGGAGGTTCTTGGATCATCCCGAGTTTGCGCCTTACTGGTATGTTCAACAACTTTGGGCAGTTACTTAACTGGATGGGAAATAAAGATTCGTTAGTCTGATCTGATCTGGCTGAGTAGGTATAATCTGATTCATATGCTTGTGAGATCGATTCCGCTCTTTACGGGGCTGCCGAGTCTTGTGAGGTATGTTGTATTTCTGAAACTACCTACTTAGTATTGGAATCACATTTGCTGAAATGATTAGAATCGTGAGCTATATCCCTGAACGGTATCTGCTCTGGTTCTTTCCTCAGGGCCAAGTCTTTAACGAATTCAAGAGAGTGCGTACACACATCCTATGACCAGGCAGTGAGTAAGTAAACAAGTACTAACGGTCTCACCCACCAGGTCGCCCGAGAAAATATCGATCGAATCTTCAACAACAGCAATACAGGCAAAATCAACACCAACACCACAACCTCCCTTTTCCACCATGTAGCCCAGAGTGACATGCCCAAATCAGAGCGGTCTCCCGAGCGTCTCGCAAAGGAAGCCCAAGTGCTCCTCGGTGGCGGAACAGCAAGCACAGCACGCACAATCGGGTTCGCCTCATTCTACATCCTCGATCGTCCGCGGGTTAGAGCGAGACTTCGCGATGAGCTTAGAGAAGTTATGGCGGACTGGCCGAGACGAGTGCCGAGCTGGGTAGAGCTTGAGAAGGTACCTTATCTGCAGGCTATTTTTAAAGAATCGCTGCGACTGAGTTACGGTGTCATGCATCGATTGCCGAGGATTTCGCCGGACTTGGAGATTCAGTATGGAGAGTTTACCATTCCACCAGGTGTATGTTTATTGCGATTGCAATGCTACTCCTGATACTCAACTAATTTGGTTTTTTTGCTTGCAGACCCCAGTCGGCATGTCCGCATACCTCATGCACTCTGATCCAAAAGTTTACCCCGAACCTAATCAATTCATCCCCGAACGCTGGCTCGGCGCTTTTAATCCAGCTATGAACCGGAATTATGTCCCCTTTTGTCGCGGATCGCGGAATTGTCTAGGGATGAAGTGCGTATACTCATTCGTAGCTAGCTCCTATGGTTTATCTTCTATGTGTGAGCAGCTGACCAAAATCTATTTCTTCCACAGTCTAGCAATGGCAGAGTTAAGTCTCTGTTTAGCCGTTCTACATAGACCCGGAGGCCCCGAACTGGAGCTGTTTGAAACGGACGAAAGTGATGTGGAGCATGTGCACGATTTCCTTATTCCATTGCCAAAGGTTGATACGAAGGGAGTTAGGGTTTTGGTTCGCTAACAGAGAAGAAATTTCAATAATTGGGGCTCATAGAGCACCTAGCACCCGTATTAGCCGGGATTCGGGTGTCTATCTTCGATAACCACTGACGGAATAGGATCGAATCTTAGCTGATGGGGGTATGTATACCCACCTAGCCTTGGACTCTTGCGTAACCGTCACTAATCCGTTTAAGGAAGAGAGCCTCAACTTTTCAGGCCCCCCGCCGGACATCTGGCAAATCATAAATAGCCCGGTGACAAGGCTAGTGATACATGAGAAGTGCCTGATAGTAGTTAACCTATCGGAGGTACAGTTGCTGATCGTGGGTGTCACAATCTATGACTTGAGATGAGGGGTGTGCGGCACAAGATGGGCATGTAGTTTACTAGTTGACAGTGGGTTGGCCTGTATTTATCGTAATCCTCAGCTTCACGAGGTCGTGCAAAACAAGCAATATCACTTGATAAACCCTGTACTGTAATACTTGAGCCCAACTGCGGCTATCAATTATGCAGCGCAAGGGATGTGTAATGCATCGTAAAGCTCAAGACTCATGGTATAAAGCTCGGCCATCATATCTATGAGTATCAGTACAATGACAGCACCAAGACCATCTGACACTGCCTTGCTGCTCTATCGGCCTCGTTTACTTGATCCCAGCGATATCAGTCATGAAGTATCGATACTCGACCGAAATTGACTCTCGCGCCTACAGGACCCACGGCCTTGATGGTGGCATCCCGCTTCGGGTTCATGCGGATCCTGACGATAAAGAAATCGTCGGTACGATGCGAGCCCAAAGTGACTGGAATCGTTATGTCCGACCAGTTTTAGACTACAAGGGGGGACTGGGCGAGAAATTCAGCTTCATGCGGGCGTGTGTGCCAGAGTGTCTCCCGGAGCGGTTGGAGATTATCTCGTACGCAAACGAATTTGCCTTTCTTTATGATGGTAAGTAGTCTTGCGGAGCTAAAAGTATAATATATTAGCTAACGTACCCTCGGTTAGACAAGATGGAGGAACTCATAGACTCGAGATCGGACACATCTGCAGGAGATGCCTCGAAGAAACCGTTTAACGACGGGCTGACGGGCATACAGCATCTGCAAGCCAAGAAACTGCAGACACAGGTCATCAAGGAGATGGCGGCAATCGATCCAGAGCGCGCAATCACGACGAGAAAGGCATGGGCCAAATTCCTGCAGCTGGCAGCTCAGTCGCGGTCGCGGCCATTGTACACCCTAGACGAATACCTTCCCTGTCGAATAATCGATGCGGGAGAATTGATTTGGTTCGGAACTTTGACCTTTGGAATGGCCCTTACTATTCCCGATGATGAAATTGAGCTCTGCATGGAGCTAGCACGACCAGGATATGCCGCAATCAGTCTCACAAATGACCTTTACTCGTGGAACAAAGAGCGTGAGGAGGCCCAGCGCGCGGGACATGACTGCGTCTATAATGCGATCTGGGTGATTATGCAGGAGCGCTCAGTTGGTGAGACAGAGGCGAAAATGGTGTGCACGAAGCAGATCAAGCGCTACATCAAGCAGTACTGTGAGATTGTGGACAAGGTGCACAGCTGGGACTGGCTTTCTGATGATTTGAAGACGTACCTGGAAGCAGTCAAGTTGAGTCATGTTGGCAACTTGGCGTGGAGCATTTGCTGCCCGCGGTATCGTGTCAATTAGGGAGTAGAAGTAAGCAGATTATGATAGGGTCGTTGGTTGGGTTGAGACAGGCCCGACGTTGTACAAAGCCCGTCTGCATGCACGGTAACACCAGACAAAGAAAAGAAGTGAACCCCTTTGGTGCCATGAGCTCCCCCTCCCTTTTCCTCATCTTCCTGCTTACCTTCCTGTCTTAATGCTCCTTTCCTTTACCACTCTTCTCCCCCTAATATTGATCTATCTACTTGTTGTCTTCATATGAGCTGTTTGTTCACTTTTTACATCTCCTCCCCGTTTCAAAAGTCACAACCTCACTTCACCAGCCGTAAGCAGATTAGATCTGCCCCGACTTTATCCTCCTTCCCAGGATTTTTCGAAACTACCCCCGTCTCTAAAAATGGGTGCCCAGTTCTCGCAGTTCTTCCCCCCGCGCCCAACTTTCACCGGGAAGGACCTCCCACCTCAAGACGACAGGGTCTTTCTCATCACAGGAGGTACCTCTGGAATCGGCTTTGAGCTTGCAAAGATACTTTATCGTCATGGCGGCAGGGTCTACATCACGGGGCGGACGGAGCAAAAAGCAAAGAGAGCAGTCAAAGCAATTCAAGATGCCGTACCCGACCACAAAGGCTACTTAGACTTTATTGTTCTCGAGCTCGATGATCTCCGAAGTATCAAAGAATCTGCAGATGCGTTCAGAGCAAAAGAGTCAAAGCTTGATGTTCTCTGGAACAATGCTGGTGTCTCCCAGCCGCCCCTGGGAAGCGTGTCAAAACAGGGCTATGAGCTTCAACTAGCAGTCAACTGCTTTGGTCCCTTTCTATTCACGCAGATGCTGCTTTCTTTACTTGAAGCTGCTGCCTCGACGTCCTCATCTCCTGGATCAGTCAGGGTAATCTGGACAAGCAGTCAGGTTGCAGAGCTTTCTTCGCCTGAGGAGGGCATCATCATGTCTGAGCTTACTACCCCGCCAAAAGACAATATTCGAAACTACCTGAACTCAAAAACAGGTAACTGGTTCCTGTCCGCCGAGTTCGCACGTCGATACGGAAACCGCGGGATTACCAGTGTTGCGTTGAACCCCGGTGCCGCAAACACGGATTTGTTAAAGAACGCGAAGCTGATGAAAATATTATCTTATCCCTTACTACACAAGCCCGAGCGTGCCGCTCATACAGAGCTATATGCCGGCCTCAGCCCTGACATATCTCTGCAGAATAACGGCTGCTATGTTATACCCTTCGGTCGGATCCATCATAACGTGGCGGAAAGATTATTGACTGCGATGAAAGTCGAAGAGAACGGTGGTACTGGAAAAGCGAAGGAGTTTTGGGAGTTTTGTGAAAACAAGGTCAGCGATTACTACTAATGGACGGTGTCTTTGTTGTGCATATTGATTGCATTCCTGTTCGCAGCACAGCATTTCCTGGGAGTTCTCTGAAAATATTTGGTGCCTCGTAATATGATATCTCTGTTTTCGTCCAAATTGAAACAATACCATTCTGTCATACCAACTGTCTGAGGTACGTAGAATAGTACATGTTTTAGTTCAACCTAGAAGTAAGGTACAGCCAGAGATCGGGCCCGCATCCCGCCTGGAAGAGAAAGAGCAACGGATGGTAGCGCTTATCGCTCCTGCCGTACTGCATACTATACCGCAACAAGGCGAGGAAAGTGCGATTATTCGAACAGAATGAACGATCAGCGTTTCACGATAGAAGCAAGTGCGATGCACGTCAGGCACCCCATCGTGCCTGCTTTACAAGTAACGACGGTATCTATCTAATAGAAAAGAGCGATTGTGCACAGGCAGATACTAGGTAGGAAGGGGCAATCGACTTGGGCTCTACTGCTCTTGCCTCTCGAGGCTATGGCCCGGATGTAAGATTATTGGAAGGCGCGATGGCGACCCAAAAACGGAAATAGCGACATTTATTGACTGGAATACTTCCAACTAGGAGAGAAATATAAGCATCAGTGGATCTCGTTTACACCTACCTTCGTATAATCGACAGCATACTTAGTAGGCGGATGAACCGCCAATGCTCAGCCCTAAGCGAGGTACATGTCACGTGACAACATCAACACCACAACGGCTACGGCTCCACCGCAGCATTTTGATATGCAGGATGAAACGGCACCATAAAAAAAAGCGAATTGCATCGCTATAAGGCAACACAAAAAGTATGGAGCAGCTGGGAATCGAACCCAGGACCTCTCCCATGCTAAGGGAACATTATACCACTAAACCACAGCCCCATTTGATATGCACTCGGTCGAAAGAGCGCTCCACAGTCGAGGCCGGGGTTCCACAGGGCATAAAAAGTGTATCAACACCGAGATTGCCTGCGATAGATGCAAAAATGTGGAGCAGCTGGGAATCGAACCCAGGACCTCTCCCATGCTAAGGGAACATTATACCACTAAACCACAGCCCCATCTTGTTATAACCCAGTCGCCGGGTGCGAAGGATTCGCGGTCCGGAGTGGCCGTTGCGCTTCCATGGCATAGCACTTCCATACGGCGAGGGTATAGAGACCGTTCTCATGGTATATTGCGGGAGTTCCCAATATGGTTTTATCATGGATGCAAAGAGAGCGAGAGGGACAGCTTCATGGTGGCCAGAAGTATGGGTATCGCGTACAGAGCCGGATATATATCAGCACCGACTGTGCACCGGTTGCGGCTGGCTTGGTCGTCTGACAGGTCGTTTATTCATCTCAGTAGAGCTACAGGCTGGAGCTCTAATATCGCAGACACTCTTGTACCAAAGAGCGGTGATTGGATATATCGGGGGCCCATCTTCTCATTGGTATCAGCTGGTTGACCACAAGGCATCATGAGAGGAGCTTAGTGAGCGGGTTACCGAAAGTATAAATTAGCAGGATCTCCTGCAATGCCGGCATGCCTCCGCGAAGCTATATTTCGAAGAAAGTTGAAGTGTTGCTTGAAGCACCAGATGGTACATGGTCTCCCTGGCCAAAAATAGCATGAATGCTGAACATGCCCAATAAATTGGATATGGCACGGGCCTGAAGTAACGAGCAATATTATTAGTGTTTGAAAATAACAGTCAGTACCTTGATGCTCGGACACCTGGGACAGCATGATGCCTAATGAGTCACGAGCAGCCTAGCGAACAACTAGTGGTAATCTCCGACTTCTCGACGTGATTAGGAAAGAGGCTTGGGTGGACCAAAAAAGTCATATAGAAAGGGCACAGATGCATGAGATAAATACAGAAGCTCCCACATCGATGATATCCATGGTCTGAAGCTGATGGATAAATGATGGAAACAGCTCCAGGGATCGCGATCAAACAAGCATCAATATATTGATGCCGAGTTGATCAGAGAAGATAGCTCCTGTCATAATTGAAAAGCTAGAAGCATTTTGGTTTTTGGAGCCCCGACCAATCGTGTACCCTTAGGAGGGGTGATAACGATGATGTGTTTACGCGCTGGATTGGAGATGGTTGGCAGTATGACGTTGATGGAATTCGTGGGTGACCCCTCTGCTTATATAGTCTACTTCTGTTGAAAACCTTCAACAGTTGGGGCTGTGGTTTAGTGGTATAATGTTCCCTTAGCATGGGAGAGGTCCTGGGTTCGATTCCCAGCTGCTCCACACTTTTTGCTCGAAACATTTTTTTGCCGGCTGCATACGGTGTATCTACTACACAGTTATATAGGATTGCATCTAATCTGAGCTGTTCGTTTTGCCGTCCTCTACCCTAGGCTTACGACAGGATGTCCATACATGGGTAATGTGATGCTAGCGCTCGCCTGTCACTGTAAAAGTGCCAACGGGTTGCTCAATGTTTTGTTTGTCAGCAAAACCTCTCTGACTAACTAGTTATTACGTAGTTAATTCAAGCGCAATTTCTCTATTTTCAGTAACCTTCGCGTATGGGTTTGGTCTCAGGAAGGTAGAAAAAGCCCGTATTGAGAGAACTGGTAAATCGTAATTCAGGATCTTCAAAGGCCGGCTCAGCCTTGCGACACCCTAACGTAAGGTAAGGTAAGAATAGGAACCACGAACTGCCGGGAGTTTCTCCGTTGCATTCTTCGCTCGGGCCGCAGAAAACGTTATTGGATCAGCCCCCGCGATAATTGGATCTCAGAACGAGTTCCTTCTCCTGACTTACCACGACGCTGCCTTTGGCCTTCCTTCACCTCAAGTATCGATGTCGCGGCCTTCATGACTCTGGCTCCGTCGAAGCGAGTCACTGCCCGGGTCTGGACCCTGGTTGACAGTCGCAGTAAGCTCCATTCTTGTTCCCAGCCCCTTCTTATCTCCGATAGTTCAATGGAGATTACACACGAAAAGCAAACGACTTGGAGAAAGCGATCTTGAAAAAACAAGCGCTCACTGTTGACTTCATCTTATAGATTATATTCCTCTTCGTAAACGCCATTATTCCTCCACTGCCCAGGCTTCCGACTCACCTCGGACTACGAAACGACGCGAATTCCACGACTATTTTGTTACGCATCTCCCCTCATCCTCCCTTCATCCAGATCCTAGGGGCCCGCTCACATCGTTCCATAAACTCCCCCGCTCAGCATCAGTACCACATACAGGAGAGATAACACACTCTCCGGCTTCATTCCAAGCTCTGGTCGGCCGAGAGACGACCGTAGTTCGGATTCCTCTACGCAGCGCAAAACATCACTTTGGAGCCGCAACTTCTCGGGGAACTCGCGCTTATAATGAAGACACATACCAGGCTGGAGTCATTGACATACCTGCCTTTGCGAAGCGTCCTCCGTCGTCCTTGACGATTAAACGGGATGTTGCCGGACCCCGGGAAAACAGAGCCGCGGATAGTGCGAGTGGGGATCCGCAAGTTTTCTATTTTGGCATATTCGATGGCCACGGTGGATCTGAATGCAGTTCTTTCCTGAAGGATACGCTGCATGAATATATCCAGGACACTGCCGCTGAGTTTGAACTGCAGTCGAGTTTGAGAAAGGCCGGGGAGGAGCCAGATTCATCTGGCAGCGAGCTGCCAGTACGACAAGGGAGCAATGCGATGCGGGTTCGGAGATTGGAAAAAACTCTGGTGCAGAACTGGAGACATCTCGTCGGAGGGTATTTCAAGAGATTTGTCCCGCCTAACTTTTCACATCTAACCAAACACCCCGCGGAGGGCGAGACGAAGTTAGCAACTGATGATAAATGTGTCTCAATTGAGGAAATCCTCGAGTACGCCTTTTTGCGTGCAGACTTGGATTTCGTTTCCGCCCAAGCCGCAAGGCAAGATGACGAGTTGTCGAATGTTTTCCGGCCGCTTTACCAAGATGACATTCTCTATGGGCCAGCACGTTCTCAATCATTAAGCCCCAGTGGGCTGAGACGGTTCAAAGGTGGAAGCACAGCGAGCTCTGTATTAATATCCACTCCAACGCCCGCACCTTTTTGGCATCCATCTAGCCCATCAAGTTTGTTAGTCTCGCATGTTGGCGATACCAGGATCTTGTTGTGCTCGACGGCCACTGGCGAGGCTATACCCCTCACTTCCAACCATCACCCTTCGTCGCCCATCGAAGCCAACCGGCTAAGGCGCTATGCAGCTACGTTCGTGACCGACTCGTTTGGCGAAGAGCGTATTAGTGGATTAGCGAATACCCGTGCCTTCGGTGATGTACAGTCCAAACGAATCGGTGTATCGGCTGAACCCGAGCTTCGCCGTTTCGAGATAGCACCGGCGGAATACTCTTTTCTGGTACTCATGACAGATGGTGTCACGGACTCACTCAATGATCAAGAAGTCGTTGATATCATCAAAGAAGCGAAGACTCCAGACGAAGGGTCTCGGCATGTAGTCAATTTCGCTACCGAGGTCACCAAGTCAGGGGACAATGCTACTTGCCTCGTCGTGCGACTCGGCGGCTGGGAGCGACGATTGGAAGGGGGTTTAGGCAGCCTAGGAACGAAAGAATCTCGCGAATTCCGTCGACAAGAAGCTACAGATCCGCGCAGGTCACGGACATGACGCAGCCATTGTATATAACGAATAATTGTCTTAGCTCTCGCTACATTTCCTTTGCAATACATAAACTGTACATACATACCAAAACATTTTCCCTTCAAATTTACAGGCGCGAAATACTAGTATGCGGAAGAGAAGAAGATAATGTGTAGCAACCAAGTTGAAAGCCATTTAAAGGGCGACTAGAAAGGGTGTGCATACAGGGAGAGAATTCGCGGGTGCTCGGCGAAGGCCGCGGTGGACCATGTGAAATTATTGTATTCTCCTATTTCCGCGACCTCCTCTTTATATCTGCCGCCCTTTTCTACTCGCTTGACCCCTCAAAATACATGGGAGCAGATCCTGGCCCTTTTGCACTTGTCTGCAGCTCGGAGTGCCTTATCGAGCTTATCGTTCTCAATGCATCCGAGTTTCCGAGTCGATGATCCTCAGGGTTCCGTTCCGCTGACTACACGTACGGCACGAGCTAGTTAACTAATCGATAATATTAAAACGGCTTCAGTAATGTTTATCACCCGGACAAAAACCCAAACCCACATAGATACCATTCAGCATCCAACAGAGAGCACGCCTCATTGTCCGTGTTCAGTTTGCCCAAACGGAGTGCCATCCTCTTCGTGGTTCTGGCTATAATCGAGCAAACGCGTGCCGAAGGCGGGTGAACCATACTACTGGTACGTGTTGGATAAGCTCCGCAAGCTGACATTTGGCAATGCTGCGGCGAGCTGTGGTCTTCTCCCTCCAACGAATATCCTACGAATTCAATCTCAAATAACTAACGCGGAAATTCTACGCTAGGCCTCTCTTCGTTTTGGCTCACCCTGCTTGGAAATAATTTGTCCTGGAAGTCGCGATTCGCCCGCTGTGGAAGCTCTCGGATAAGAGGTTTCTCCCCTTTTTACTACCTCATCGCCGTCGCCTCGTCTGCTCTCTTTTCCCACACAGCCCTTCAATAGGTGCCGAAACACACGCGGCACTCATTCTATACTAGAAATTTTCTCAAATATGAGCGCCAGGACTAGAAGGCAAAAGGCCGCGCTGGCCGCCCAGTCCGAAGGAGGCGACGCATCGCCGACAAGAAACGGCTCGATAGAGACGCCTAAACGGAGCAAGTCAGCTACACCGGACGACGACGATGATGGAGTGAAGGAGAACGTATATCTATTTGCTCCCAATATCATTGGTAAGGAACTCGTTCTTGGTCGTTAGTCGCTGCGACCCCGCTAATATTTTCGGGTTCATAGGATACGTGAGAGTTGTTCTGGCGATTGCATCCCTCTACTACATGCCCCTCCACCCACGAACTTGCTCGATTCTTTACAGCGTATCATGCTTGCTGGATGCTTTGGACGGATATGCGGCGCGCTATTTCAACCAATCTACTACGTTCGGCGCAGTGCTTGACATGGTGACCGACCGTTGCACAACTGCTTGCCTTCTCGTCTTCTTGAGCTCTGCTTGGCCGCGATGGGCGCTTGTTTTCCAATCCCTTATTGCTCTGGACATGGCTTCTCACTATATGCATATGTACGCGACCCTCAGCATGGGAGGTGCCAACCAAAGCCATAAAAAGATCGATTCTTCTCGGAGCTGGGTCCTGTACCTATACTACAACAGCAGGGTGAGTTTTGCGAGCTCTATTTGAGATATATGTCTCTGGATTATGCTGACGACTTGCATCTACAGACGGTTCTCTTCATCTGCTGTGCCCTCAATGAGCTTTTCTTCATCGGCCTTTACCTGCTCTCCTTCTCTTCTCCCACCTTATCACCGTCCTTGCTCCTACCCCCTCAAGGGGTCACCGTAGGCGGAACACCACCACCTCCCGCTTCGACAAGCGTATTCGCTAGCCCTTGGAGTGCCGGTGCCCTAGAGCTGGCTCGCGCCAACAAGATTGACAGCTTCTGGCCCTGGGTGATTACCGCAATCTCGTTTCCGGTCATGGCATTCAAGCAATTTGTCAACATCGTACAGCTGGTCAAGGCTGCCAACTGGTTGGTTGAAGGCGATCTTGTCAGCCGTCGGAAGGCTCGCAACGCGCGGGTGAATTAGAATGTCAAGGACACGAGCCCGCTGTCGAAACTGGGGCGTTGAGGTATATCTCACCTTTAACATAAAGCCCCTGATCTTGATCACTGCATCCTTTGGGTGTTAGCTGTCATTTAGATGACCTATATCATTCTGCATAGCTCTGGCGCTCTGTCCTTTTCTTTGGGAATGAGCTGGGAGTTTTTGCCAACTTTACTACTCCTTTTGTGGCGAGCCCTTGGCAATGAAACCTGCATTGCGGGATAAATAGATCACGTCTGGGCATTTGACTTGGGAGGACTATGTGGGATTGGGCGTGTATATCTGCCACCAACAGGCGTGTGGACCAAACTTATTTTAGCGATGGTCTAGTTTTTGTGTTTCTTTCTCTGTCTTTTATTCTTCTTGCTACCTTCTATTTTTCACTCTTGTCGTTAATTGTCCTTTTACCCTCTGATTCTTTAGTTATTTTAATGTGTTTCTTTGGCCCTGCTCTGGTCTTATACGACGAAGAAACGGACTTGGCCCAATTGGGGAGGTCGGATTACCGTACATAACCGCTCTCCGGTGTCGGCGTGGGGTAGAGCAAATCCACCCCGCCGATTCCCTTTAACATCGGAGCCCCTGCTCTCCCGAATACCTGTCCACTGCCCTGAGTTCCTTTCTGTGTTTTTATTTGCAGTAATTTGTGAAAAGCGCCAACAGAATGCCGTCCTTTAACGTCGTTGTATTTGGGGGTGACCATTGCGGTCCTGAGGTGAGGCTCGCATATTGCAATCGCTATAGTGTGGAACTAATATACTGTGATTTTTAGGTGACTTCAGAGGCTGTCAAGGTGAGTCACCTTGACTATTCGATGGACCAACGGGCCAATTCGAGAGACTAATCCTAAGCGACGAACTAGATTCTCCGTGTGATCGAGAAGAGCCGTGGCGACGTCACGTTCAATCTCCAGGACCACTTGCTCGGTGGTGTAAGCAATGACCTCCAGTTTCCTTCAAAGTTTCGTACACTGGGAATCAGGGCGCAAACGCTAACCAAGCCCGATATCTAGGGATCAATTGATGCCACCGGATCTCCTCTTACTGACGAGGCCCTCGAGGCCGCAAAGAACGCCGACGCCGTGTTCCTTGGTGCTATTGGTGGCCCGGTATGTGACGCAGCGACACGCACAAAAGTATACTCAACTAGAGACGACTGAGCTAATCGGGATACATTCGGTTTGTAGAAATGGGGAACTGGTGCCGTCCGCCCTGAACAGGGTATCCTCAAGCTCCGCAAGGAGATGGGTACTTTCGCCAACCTGCGACCATGTAACTTCGCTGCCCCCTCGCTAGTCGAGAGCTCCCCGCTGCGCTCTGAAGTATGCCGCGGAGTCGACTTTAACATCATCCGTGAATTGACTGGTGGTATCTACTTTGGCGAGCGTAAGGAAGACGATGGAAGCGGGTTTGCCCTCGACACAGAGCCCTACTCCCGCGCTGAGATTGAGCGCATCACCCGCCTCGGTGCTCACCTCGCTCTACAACACAACCCCCCTCTCCCCGTGTGGAGTTTGGACAAGGCCAACGTCCTCGCTACTAGCCGCCTGTGGCGTAAGACTGTTACCGAAGTCATGGCCAAGGAGTTCCCCCAGCTTAAGATCGAGCACCAGCTTATCGACTCCGCTGCCATGATTATGGTCAAGGATCCCCGTAAACTAAATGGTATCGTCATCACCAGCAACCTCTTCGGTGATATTATTTCCGACGAGGCCAGCGTTATCCCCGGCTCTCTGGGTCTCTTGCCCAGCGCTAGTTTGAGCAGCATCCCCGACGGAACCGGCAAGGTCAACGGTATTTACGAGCCCATTCACGGTACGTACACTAGCCATTTCTCCCTCAATCCTCCTCAGTTGAAGTTCTATACTAATTTAATACTCGGTATAGGTTCCGCCCCTGACATCTCCGGAAAGGGCATTGTCAACCCTGTCGCTGCTATCCTCTCCGTCGGTTTGATGATGCAGTACTCTTTTGCTCTTTTCGATGAGGCCCGCGCTATCCAGACGGCCGTGAGCAACGTTATTGAGTCTGGCGTGCGCACTGGCGACATTGGCGGCAAGGCCTCCACTAAGGAAGTTGGTGATGCCATTGCTGCTGAGCTAGAGAAGCTTCTGAAAAAATAAGTGTTTGCGCCAAGGGCTTACTACTTCGGAATATTAAAGTGGACGCGAAAAGTACCTACTATTTAGGGCATTAGTCATGCCAAATGAGATACGAACAATTTGAATAGAATACCTCTTATGGGATGTTGTCCTTCCATATTTATTATTGATTACCAGCACAGCTCTTATATCTGTCATTGCATGAGTAATTAATAAGTACAGTAGCTAGCGGGTATCTTAAACCGAGACGCCGAATAGTAGAAACATCCTTTCTTTTTAGACGTATCAGTAATGCAAGGACGATGTGCTCACCAACTCGAGAACCCCTAACTCCCATAGTGCACAAAGTAAAATAAACCGCCATGATGGGTGATTTGATCATCGAATCACCGGATCTCCCATCCAATCCGGCTCCTCTAACGCAGTTACCTTGCCCGCGGCGCTAGTATTGCCATCGCCTCGTCCGTCATCATTGTTAACACCCCGTAGAGACTTCCGGGCACTGTGTCTCCGTACTCGACCATCCGCAGACGCGGACGGAGCATTACCGTTCCGTCGGCGGTCATCGTCTCTTGCAAAGACCTGGAATCCACGCACATGTGTATCCTTTCCGTTCTGATGATTCTCCATGATGCGCATTTGAATCACCATAGCTTTGAGCACACTCCCAGAATACGTGTCTTCATCGTCGTCATCGTCATCATCTTCGTCACCGCCACCGCCATCAGTATTGCCCTCTTCATCGTACACGCCAAATTCCTGAGCTCGACCAAGTTTCCGGGCAGACTTCTCTGGGTTCTCGGAACCGGAGAGCAGTGAATCATCCGCGAAGATAGTACTTCCGGACTTTCTTTTTCCTTTATCCATTTTGCCCTGGAGACGAACGGATTTTTGCGCCCGCCGACGTCTTCGCCTCTTTCGTACCCATCCGCCATTTTGCCCCCCGACACCCTCAAGTGGGACTTCCACCCAGCCACAGGGGCCCTCACCTTCCCATGTTGCGAACTCGACTAAGTCATTCCCGCCCATACCAGCCAGGAACATCATCTTCGTAGGCGTATAGCTTTCATCAAGACTGAAATCAAGATACACTCTGATCTTAACAACGGCAACAAGTTTGAAAAAGTGCAGCGTAAGTGTATGTGGCTGCGGCCCGTCGGACTGCCAGTACTGCGTATGATCTGGGTTCCGAAGCGCTGCTACACCGCAGCCAGGTTTATGTGTTGAGACGGTCCAAGATGCAAGTGAAGAAATCTCACGGAGATCACTGGGAAGTGGTGATGGTGATTTATCTAGACGATCAAGAGATGCTGTTAGCTGCGCGTGCCTAAGAGTATAAAGAGAAGTAAGTATACGAACCTCGATCTTGCATCAACTCATCCTCATCCTCCTCTATAGCCTCCTCTTCCATACCTTCCTCAACCATACCCTCCATGTCCTCCTCCGAAAGCTCAACCTCGTTACCCTCTGGATCTAGTCCAATTCGCCTTTCGACGATCCCACCATTCAGCTCCTCCACATCCTCTTCCTCATCAAACGGGCTTTCCTCGTCATATTCTTCCTCCTCATCCCCATCCTCGTCATCGCCCATAGACTCTCTCCCCTGCGGCCTCTCAGCTACTCCCCTACCAAACAACGAGAAGAGCGCAGCCTGCGCCGCAGCCGCGCGCCGAACCGGCTCCGGCGCCCCCGCATTACCCGACTGATCAATCTGCCCACCCGACGACGGGTGTAACTGCGGGAACGGAACCCCCCGAGGAGACGGTGTTTGAAAATGTCCCTGCACTGGGATATGGTTTAGTCGCTGTCGTTGTTGTGGCTGCGGCGGCTGTGGTTGTGGGGAGTCGGAGGAGGGAGGAGCCGTGGGGTGTCTGCGGAGGAGATGGCGAGGCATCGCTGTGGTTGGGTCCGGTATTGCGATGTTTGAATTGGGTTATGATGTTCCCATTTTATGTTCCCAATAGCGGGGGTTTTCGAATTTGGTTGTTTCGTGGGGAACTAACTGGCAGTGGTAGTTGTTTGTGTTTTGATAGAGCTCTCGCTCTTGCGGTGGAATTCCGCGTCACGTGAATAGCTATGGATTGATGGGAATGTGAAGCCAGGAAGGGAGGATTAAATTAAGATATATATCTATTAGGTAAGTATGATGTCGGAATAATAGTTAATATGATACATTATCGTAGTGTATAAAAAAATAATACAACACAGTTGCGAGCAACGCTGGTAACAAGAGGCTCCGCAGAGAGCATATCTACATCCTACTCCCTGACATCGACGTACCCAAGTTTTTGGCCCATCTGTATCCGCTGGCCCTTTTCAATATTCCAATTCAATCCACCATCTCGCTGGCCCTCTTTCCAACCGGCATCAAACGACTTGCGTGTGCCCATAGGAGCCTCGAAGACTAACACGATGGAACTCCCCAACTGGAACCCGCCCATTTCCTCACCTCGTTGAAGAGAGTGACCACCTAGTGTCCGGCTTGCGTGAAGGTATGTAGCTTCGGCGAACCCAGGGTACTGTTCACCGCGCTTGGCGGCTTCTGCAGCAGCCACATCTGCTGCGGTGTCCGTCAAAAGGCTATTGGTTCGTAGTTCGGAGTCAAAGTTGATTTTTATTGAGCCGACATTTGTAGCGCCTACTGGGGTATAGCTGAAGAATCCCCAGCGCCACCGACCCAGAAGCACCACACGCTCGTTGAGTGTAAAAAGGCCAGGTAGATGTCGTTGCAAATAGGGTGACACGGAGAATAGCTCGCCGGCAAAGTGTCGGCGGCTTTCAACAACCCAGGGCACAGGCGAGTGGAACCGATGGTAATCACCAGGAGCGAGGTAGATTACCACGTAGTAAAGGGCATTGTTCGACGTTGGTTTTGGCGCATACCAAGGGGTTCCATCACCACGCGCAAGGTCCTCCCGAACTTGGGCTTCGGACGCAGCTTTAGATTCTGTAGACGCATCTATAGACGATGATCGCTTTCTTAAACCAGCGTGCTCTCCAGAAAAGAGAGACGGTAGCGTGTAGGAAATGCCGTTCATCTTAGCAAATTCTTCATCTGCCGACATGTTGGCAGCATCTCTTTGTGAGGGCTCATTCTGATGGTCCATGAATTTCTTGGAGTGATCAGCCTGGGACGGCGTGGCAGAGCCCAGGAGCGCGTCCAGGCTGTACGTCACACCTTTGACCTGCTCTACTTCTCCTCGCTCTATCAGACCGAACTGAAGAATGCGCCCATCGGAGGGAGACAGTATAGCGTGCGGGTCCGAATCTAGCGGCCGGACCCCAGGCTTCAGCCTGCGGTAGAAGAAGGCTGCCAAGTTCGGGTACACGTGAAGATCGGGCTCCGCCACTTCATCCAAGTTGGCGCCAAATACCCAGGAGTATAGTTTGAAACCCGGGACACGAAGGTAGTAAGGAAGTTCTATTTCGTTGAAGCGGCCCCACAGTCGAGACATTGCCTTCAACGGCAAGGTTGACATGATTTGAACCTGCCATGGCCCGCTGAGCCGAGTCTTCGGACGCGGAGGGGGTTTTGAGAAATCGAATGACTCTCCTGAAGCTTCGGATTCCCTCTCAATGCGTAGTCGTTCATTTCGTTGAGACTTGTAATAATGAAGAATACCCAGGAGACCGATTCCGAGGCCAACCGGGATCGGGTACCATTCGACTTTGGTGTTCCGTAGGGCAAAGCGAAGCCGGGATCCAAATGTGCTCCCAGGCGACGATTTCTGGTTTTGATTGTTGTAATTGCGCCGGGACTTCGAGAAGAACCTGACGCCAGTCCGAAGCCGGTCAGGGGATCCAAACGACACCATATCTGATAACGCGACGCTATCTCTCGAAAAGCGAGTGAGGCTCCGACAAAAGGACATAGAATTTCTAGACAGGCACAAGGCCATAATTTGAGGGTCACACCATGAATATCAGGCCGGAGTGCAGTCCCGAAGCATGGGGAAGTTTAGTCGGAGAAACTCATGTGATTGCGATAGATGATGTTTTTGGTGCCCCTCCACCGCCCGGCAGAATCTGCCGATAGCGATTGTCTCCTTCCTCTGCCACGGCCTCATCTCCGCCTCAACAACCTCCTCATCAGCGTCTACTCTTCATTAGTATTATTTATCTCTCATTATTTGACTCTAAAACCCACCTATATTTGTGCTCTTAGTATTTCGGAGTTTCGCTCGATTAGCAGTTCGTGAGGGACCGCGCTGCATCTTAGAGGCCACCGTTATCATAGAGCTCCCCAGTCCCGCACCAGAGCTTCGACACATTTGCTCCACATAGTTGGCCTTTTTGCGACTTCCCAGCTTTTTGTCTCCTGCCAACGCATTTTGAGCTTGACGGATGTCTCTGATGGATACAGGGGCCGGAACCAGTGTCAAGGGTCTCACCCTCCATGTATTGTGTCCGTCTTTGCCATCGCCGAACCGTTTCACCTTCAGAGGCCTGCCTCTCTCCATCACGGTTGCCGACCTTAAAGTTCGCCTTTCAGAATCGATCCCTTCCCAACCAGCGCCAAAAAGCCAGAAGCTATTATATCTCGGAAAGATACTTGCAGATGACAGCGTAACCTTGCAGTCGCTGTTCGGATCACTGGATGTAAGCGCAACCCCCCCTACTATACCCAGTTCCGACGGTTAACGTTCCCGTACAGAGTGACGAGGTCTCAGTGCACCTTATACTTCCTCCTTCTCCCCCGCAGCCCGCAGACCCAACCAAACCTACTACGAGTACCTCAGACCCTTATCATGCCATCACTCATAGACACAACCAATCGCACAACCATGGGTTACATGCTCAGCAAATAAGGTACAGAGCGCCTAATCCTTTGAGGCGGGATGAAATTGCTCAGTCCTTGCACGAAAATGCCCGCCGTCGCCTCGCCGAAATACGACCACGAACGCTTCCTCAATCTCAATGGCCAAGGCCGCCGCATTGGGCGTCGCGGCAGCAGGATCCCCATCTGCCGCCTTATATACCAGGACCATCAGTTCCAGCTACCCAAACTACTGCGCCATTCTCTTCCTTGCCAAGCCTGTCGGTCATGGACTTAGGGGAGGGCCTGCAACTTCCTGAAGAGGCTCAACCACGTCTAAGGCTGCTGAGACAGTACATCGGCTTAGCTGAAGAACAACTAAACTGCGGAATTGTGCCCACAATAGACCATGTGATTCAATTACGAACACATCTTTTCAAGCTGCTCGATGATCAACTCCAACGGCCGCCGTCTGAACGCGGCGAATATATTGAGCCATTAATCACCCGCGTTTTTGACATTTCTACCCGCGCGGATGAGCTTCGCCAGCCTCGTTTCCTGCCTACTCAAAATGGCCCCTCACATGATTCGATGGGCCAGCTGTACCTAGTCTCTTCACCTAGTGGTTACCAGGCTCTATGTGCGTCTTCACTAACTGCCCCGGGCGCCGTTCGGACAATTGGTACAGCGCAAACACTCGGAACGGAATCTTCCACCAATGGCCAGCAACCCAATGCACAGCCAAACGCAGACGCTGCGGTTATGGAAAATGTCGTTCGTCACGCTGTCTTGAACCAAAGACCTGCAGCCGACGGACAGTTTGGCTTGGGGCGCAATTTGAGACGGCTGTGGCTTTTTATGCGACTTTACTTTTTCTGCCATATGTTCAGCCAACCTGGTTCTCAAACGCGACTACTCTATGTGACCCTCGCTGTAATAGCTGCAATTCTTTCAGAAACTAGCGTCCCAAGGCGGCTATACGAGATGATTTTTGCTCCTGTCCAGCGACATCTCGAAGGGCTGGTGCACTTTGCACCAGAGCCAGCGCCGCAGGGTGCAGAAGCAACAACCAACCAAGGAGTCAGAGTGCAGACTGATCGCGAGGCAAGTTGGGCCGCTGGGGCATACCGTAATTTACGAAGGGTGGAGCGGTCGGCGGCCCTTTTTATTGCCAGTCTAGTACCTGGTGTGGGAGAGAGGCACATTGAGGTACGCAACGCGGCGGAGGCTGCGCGGAATGCTGAAATAGCACGACAGGAGGAAGAGCGACGTCAGCAAGAAGAAGTGGTAGTTGCAGAGAACCCAGGGGAGCACCCACTCGGGGTAGACGACGGAGCCGGTAATTCTGAACGAGATTCTCACACCAACACAGGGGCCGAAGCTCCGAACGTGCCCCAGACTGCGATACCCCAAGAAGCACACTAGGTACAACTTAGGTACTAGTTGTGTTTCTGCTTGCACCTTTTATACTTGGCGTTACTGTTTGGAATTAGCGTAGATATCGTTATTGGGTTCGAAATATGGAGTGTGTTAAATAGCGTCATGCCTTTCTTCAACCAACAGGCAACCGTATAGATAGCGTATCTAGTCTATAAGATTTGGGTATATGCAAGTCTGCGTAGCTTCTATAACTTTGTTCCTAGCCTCAGCTCACCATCTACTGGAACTGTCGGCTCTGTCATAGGCCCCGTATCAAACGACTCCTCCCCATTGAAATGCCACCCTCTCTCCGCACCACCGCTCAGAAAGCTGCAATCCCCATTCACCACACAGTCCCACCCACCCCCGACTCCCCTCCCACCTTCCCATTCCGGCACAATTGTGACATCTGGGTTCTCAATCCTCGTCCCATCTGCCAGGAGACCCTTCCCCGGTTCTGACGCAGCAGGCCCGCCGACCCTCCTCCGAAAGGTACTCAGCCCCGTTGTATAAACATGAAAATCCTCCTCACTAGAATCCGCGGGCATGTTACCCGTCAGCACACGCCCAATCGCAATGAGTGGCGCCGCATGTGAGCATATAAAAATTGCCTTGCTCGTTCTCTGCTCAGTAGGGAGAGAAGCCTCTATCGTGGCGATTTCCGCATCCACCTCCCTAATTATACCCGCCAACGCGGTTGCGAGGCGGTTATGTAGTTGCGGGATTGATTCACCCCGGGTTGATGTGTAAAGTATAGGGGATTTTCGGGTAGTGTTTAGGGTGAATGGTGCTGCTTTGCCAGATTTGAGTGATTGTAGGGTTGAGAGCGTTGGAGGTGTGGGGTGGTGAAAGAAGGTTGTTGAGCCGAACCATTCCCTAGTCCGAGTAAGTATAGCTCCGGTATGTGTGGCAGTCTACCGAAGGGGTGAAAAAAGGTCATGCAGGGTGGAAGACAGAGGGTGCATACCCAAGCCCATTCTCAACCCGTATCTCAAACTCCGCCTGTTCATCTATATCACTCTTTCCATTCTGCGCCTTCTTCACATCGCCCAATGACCTAACAGAGGGTTCAATGGTCTGTAAACATCGCCAAAAAGGGCTCGAGTAGACCCGGAACGGCTTGGGGGTTACATCCCCGCTAACTATGTGCGTTGCGAGTTCGTGCGACTGCCGGACGCCGTGCGAGGTTAGGGCTGGGTCCGAAGGGTTTCCCGATGGTGTGGGGAACTGGGAGGTGTATGTGCCGGTTTTGTGGTCGATTGTCCAGTTCAAGCGGTGCTGTGTTGATTCGAGGAATATGTAAGTGGGTGTGTTTCATCAAGTAGGCAGGGTTATGTTGGCGGGGGTTTGGGATGGAGAGAGGAAGGACGTACCCCATGTCGAGTTAGATAGATTGTGTCGAGGGGCATAACGACGCTTTTACTACCCACAAATACAGGTAGCGTTATAATGGAAAGGGGTGAATGAAAAGAACAGAGAAGATTGAGAGGTTGGGGTCGAGGGGTGCGAGTTTGGGAAGTTGCGGGGGGATGTCCATCGGGTTTGACCTGAACCTCGGCCCGTGATAAGGCATGCAAAAGTCAAGTCAGATTTGACTTGCGATGGAAATCTACGAAAATAAGAAAATAATTATAGGTTCCAGACACGGTCATAGATTAACGAATATAACTACTATCTAGCGTTCAGCACAGGTATCATCCCTTAACTCCTCGCCAAGAATTGTACATTTTTATTTCGCAACCCACGACGACTATCCATGCCGGGCCGTTGTTTTATCAGATTTTTTCGGATAAACTTTTTAGTAGAAGAAACCGAGGAGCTTGCCAGCAACGTGCTTGCGGCGGGCCTCCTCGTGGTCCATGATACCAGCGGAGGTGGTCAGGACAACGAAACCGAACTGACGAGAAGGAAGGAGCTGGACAGCCCAGTTCTCGATCTCACCGAGCTGAACGGGGTAGCGGGGGTTGATGACACCGCACTTGTTGAGACGGCCGTTGAGCTGGATGACGATCTTGCCGGAGCGGTGGTCGTCAACTTCCTCGAATTCACCGATGTAGCCTGGAAGCAGAAAGATAATTAGTGGGACTGTAGCGAAAATTTAAAGGTTTGCCCGACACAGAGCTCAGAAGAAAGGAGAGAAGGGAAACTTGTAAGATCTTCGCTATCGCATTCAAGACACGACGAGATTAATATCTCGGGCACTTAAAGGGCAAAACGTCGTAAGTATCGAAAGCGCCGCCTAGTTATCAACCCGAATTTTTTAATTTTTTTTTTTTTTGAAGATCTCACATGGCCTCCCATTCTCTTTTCCAATCTCACTCCGTAGACATCGAAACCTAAAGTGCCAACATACCGTGCTTCTGCATGACGCTCAGGAACTTGATGATGACCTTGGAAGAAGGACGGATGAGGACCTGGCGCTTGCCAGCCTTCTCAGCGTTGTTGATGGCGTTGAGCGCATCGTTGAGGACGGAAGTCTTGACCATTTTGTCGGTGTTGAGGGATAGAGATCGAGATTCTCAAATCGAGCAAGAGTAAAACTGGAGATGAGGTATCTGTATTACAAGAAACCCTTCATCCCCCGGTTAGGGGATTCGGGTTTTACATAGTCAGCCACCAGTAGTCCTCGAGCGCAAAGAGTGCCCTTATGGTTGCAACAATCAAAAGGGTTCTTCAGCCCGTGCCGTAATGAGAGATGCGTATCACGTTGGAAGGATTTCTAGTTCCATTGAGCCTTCGGGTCGGAAGTACTGCATCAAAAACTTTCTCTTTCCCTGCAAGATCTCATTTTCCTCCGGTCGCAACTCCGGGGAATTGGATCACTAGAAACTCCGCAGTGATTGCTCTCCCAGACTAGCTGTGAGGCTGTAGAAGGGGGGATATCTGCAGGTGAAACATACCTCGATGGTAGGTACCGGCGGTGCTGGAGTGAACAAGGTTGTCGAGATCAGGAGGTTGATCAAGAGCGGTGGAGTTGAGATTTCACGGATGTGCGCGCTTAGGGTTTCCAGGTTTTACCCTTATCAATAGTCACGTGACGATAAAAAGAATTTAGTGCCTCAGGCAGAAAATCAGATATCGCATGTTCCGCATGCACCGGAAGTTCCGGAACTTTACGATTGAATTGGTATGGTTATTCCAAGTTTTCATCATTCTCTATACAGGTTTTTTAGGTAGTGTTGGGGTTGAGGGTCAGATTATACTAGCATGGGTCAAATACTTCATGGCGGTGTATCTTTAGGGGTTACATGACTTCCGGGCATACATGAGATGGGGGGTAAAATGCGTGAGTCTAATGATGAGAAAAAATTAAGGAAAAGACAGGAAGATGAATTGAATTGTGCAACAGGGTGTGATCATGCATTTAGGACACGTCATGGAACAGGGGAAAGCGTCCGAAAAAGGGAAAGGACGATGCCTAATGACGTTTATCCGTTAAGACAAAGGGAGAAGACAACAGTCAAAGGTAGGGGAGGGTGTAGGGGAGAAAATGAGGTGTCGGGGGTATAGATGTTGGAATAGGGCATGTGTTAGGGGAAACCGCCATATTTGCAGTCACAAACTGCCTGGAGAATTGTTTGGCAGCTTGCCGCTATTTCAGGGCACGGCACTTTGGGTGTGCCTCTTGGGAGACACTCCAAGATAGAGAACACCTCGGATCGTGAGGTTATCTTCCAGATCATAGCACGCCTCACTGAGGAATACTGGTGGTAGAAATCGATGTCCGCACAGGAGTGCTTTATGACATTCCACCGCCCTGCATGTTGATCTGGTTCTTGACCTGCTCACGAGCCCAGCGAGCGGTATCAATGGTGCGGGGACCATACTCGCGGTTGGTTCTGGTTTCCCTCACCAAACTTGTGACCCACTCATTGCGGAAAAAGGCGGCGATAGAACCATCAGGGTACGCGTCAGCGAGGTCACTAGAGCGAGTTAGTATATAAGTTTCACAAGGTCAATAATCATGGAACTTACCCAAGGACACCCATAGATGACCGCATCAACCCTTCGCTGCGAGAACTGGGATCTTGAGAAATGAGGCGAAGAAGTTCGAAAATAGGTTGGACGAATTCTTCTAGAGATTTCACTGCAGGATAGTTAGCACTTACTCGTAGGGATGGAAACCAAGGCTTAACATACCTTGTGGCTTGCCCTTGTAAGCAATTAGAATACCGCCCCAGGCATCCATGATACCCTCACGAAGCGAAATGACATAATCCAACATTTCGATGGTGACATCAGAGCTTGCAGTAACCAAGGAGGCCTGCTTTAGCACTTGGCCAACAACAGTCAGGTATTTATCGAATTCCACGCCAATAGCCTGGGCAATATCTCCAAACGTCTCGAGAATGGCAGGCTTGAGCTGGTTTGTGGCACTCTGTAGATAAAGTTAGAAAAATATACTGGGAAAATGGAGCAGGGTCTACTAACGCTCAAGTTATTCATTAGGTGGTTCATGAATGTGTCGCAGTACGGCGAAATCTTCTCGTTCAATGCACGAGAGATGTCGCTGACCAAGCCAATGGCCATTGAGCAGAGACCCGGCTCCTCCTGGTTGCCTAGGGCATTGTTGAGGAACGGGCTGAAAGGCTCCATGTACTTCTCAAATTCTTCATCCAAAGCTCCAGCGATCGCACCCACCGTCGAGAACACAACATCAGGTACGCTGGACTTAGGAGGAACTGTGGAGAGAACTTGAAGTAGGCTGTGCATGATGCGGTCAGCCTGGGGCTTGATTTCGGCTTCAAGACGTTGGACAATAGCCTAATTAGATTAGTAAATGAACAGACAGAAAATTTTCATTTACTCACTAGAACAACACTTGTGATGCCCGTCTGCATCTCTTCGAGGGTGATGCGGTCTTCAACGCTGACGACCTGCTGCTGCATGGGGATGGTCTGTTCCAGACGCTGGAGGATAAGATCGGAAAGGTTGGCAATCATAGGAAGGCTGTCATTCGCAGCGTTTGTGATGAAAGAGTTGAGAACTTCGTAGCCAGCGGTTCGGAGCTGGTTATCCGCATCTTGTCTGTACGGGGTTAGACTCACACGAAAAGAGATATAGCAAGATATAAACATGGAAAAACATACCTCTCCGTAAGCGTCAAGAGCGACTTCACGCTCTCCTCGAAATATTTCGAGATGGGGTTGGTCTGAGCGCCAGGATCACCGGCAAAACGGTCGGCAACATTCATCAATGCCCAGCAACATGAGCTAGCGATCTTGGGAGAGCTTGCAAGGCCGTTGAAGAGGCAAGAGATAAGGGGTTGAAGGTGGACGTCAGGGTCGAGAGTCTCGGAGCAGAAGTCGCAAACGCGGCCAAGGGCGTAGGCAGCGGAGTCACGGACCTGGATGGAGCTGTCTTCCATCATACTGACGAGAACACGAAGAGCCTGCTTCACCAGAGGCTCCAGAACCTTAGGGTCGGGGCCGTCCATGATCGCGCCGAACGCGGCCACGGCAGCGTCTCTACGGCGCCAATCTTCGTGGCGAATGTTCTCCTCAACGAAAGCCAGGACAGGTTGAATAACTTCGGCCTGGACGGATTGAGCGTACAATTGCAGGGCCTGGTAGGCCGCGCGGGAAACGTTGTACTCGTCATCTCCTGCATCTTCATCTTGCTTGCACATTGACTGCAAAAGCACTGGGACAACCTCGCGGCAAGCAATGCGCGCAAAGCCATACATTGGGCGGACGTCAGTCAAGCCCTCCGCTTGGGCCTGATTATAGTCAGTAACAACTCAGCGATGAGAAGAGCGGTACAAAAAAACTTACCGCAGCATTATCATCTTCAATGGCAATTTCTTCTTCGCAAACGGTACACCAGAATTCAATAGCAAGCTTGGCTACATCTTCCTCTTCGCTCTTCATTCCCATGATACTGAGGCCAAACAGAGCCTTCTCCATGTAAAAGCTCATCTTATCGTAGTAAGCACCCATAATACGGTTCAGACAACCGAAAGCACCGGCCTGGACACGGAGGTCATCAGCCTGCGTAGCCTCACAAACGACCTGCATGATGTAGTTCCGTTCGCCCTCATTTTCCATATTTGATCGTACAAAGTCTACAGAGTCACTGAGGGCCTTGATAGCAGCATATCGAATGTCCATGTTCTGCTCTTCGCGACGAGCTCCCTGAACAACAGCCGTAAGGATAGCATTTGAGTGTGCAGCCAGACTTTCTCGAAGTTCCAGATCCTGGGATTCGCAAATGAAACCGATGGTGACCAAGCAGGCCTGCTTCATTTGATCGGATCCACTCGCGACACCCTGGACGAGAACCTGCATCAAATCGGGCCATTCATTCTGTGGCAACTCAATAGCGGCGATAGAGACAATAAACTGAGCAGCTGATTGACCGGCCCGCCCATCTTTGGAGCCGAGTGTGTCGATGGCCAGCTTCTTGACCTGCGCCTTAATTTCTGGGGTAATTTGCTGGCGCCATTTTTGTTGAACTTCGTTTAGTCTGTCTCGATCCCTGAAGGTGAAGGCGTTCTTTAGAGCGAGACCGGCGGCGGTTCTGATGTGGGATGCGGAGTTTTCATTTGCGAGTTCTTGACCTAAGGTGACGAGATATCCGGCCTAAAGTAGAGGAGGGGCACAGCGTTAGCGAGTGAAAGCGAGAGAATTTTGTTTCAAAACAGCCAGCAACGGCGAGAGTCGGAATAGGAGTATACGTACAAAGTCGACCTCTGCCGCATGGAGCAACTGTTGCTCAGCGTTGGTACGTGTGGCGGCATCTATAGGTTAGGCGAGCGAAACGGATTAGCAAGACCGGACCCGAAACATACTTTCAGACAAGTCTCAGGAGATCGAGTTTACCTGGCGAGATGGTGCCTTCCAACACCTGAGTGACATTCATATTGGATTATTGAGTTGATAATACCAGAATCACAAGCCAGCTGCAGAGATCCCAGAAAAAAGAAAAGGAAAGGAAACGGGAGGGAGGGGAAGAAGGGGAGGGAAAAACTCCGCTTTCTCGGTTGCAGCAGAAGTAAGAGATAGGACGTGTATAGCACAAGAAAGCCCACGGCAAAAGAGAGGTGTCGTATGGAGGGAGGAGAGGAGGGCTTATGCAAATAGCAGAGGGGGTAGTGGTGGTGGTTGTGAGAACGGGAAGAGGGCGGGAGGTTCAAGTTGTTTTTGTGGATTATGACGAGGAGCTGGACGGCGGATCTGGAGGCATGCACCACCACTTTCGGCGGTCCGTAGCAATCAGGAGCAACCGCACAATATGAAAAATCTCGGACCGAACAGGTCTTGACTCTTGAAATTAGCAGAGTTTCTCGTCTTGTAAACCTCAAAAATATCAAGACGACAAAAAAAGAAGCGAGACGAGCTGGTTGAATAAAATCTAGCCTTGGCTTCCCTTAGGCTGAGACAAGAGAGGCCAGATCTTAAGGAGAGCGGGTGAATAAAAACGAGGGAGAAAAAAAAAATTGATAACCAAGCCGGGTCTTGTTTTACAGATAGTCGAAGAAGCGTTCCTTTCCGCAGGGACTCTCTTCTGAAGAAGTTATACAGCAAAAGCACCGTCCAACTCCATGACTCTGACACCTCCAGATGACGGGACGTGCATTTACTGCTTCTGATTGGTCCATCTCCACGCCCTCCGTCCTAATCCGGCTAATGTGGCACGTGACATCATCACTGACAAAGAAACCTCCGACGGGAAAGGATCACATCCACGCTTTCAATTCTTTCAACGGGCTAGGATGCTATGGTCTAATAATAACTATCATGTATTGAAAACGATTATCATAACGATATTTCCTTGTTCCAGCCGCATCCAGGCCACACAAGTGGAAGTTACAGGATGCTATCACCAATATTTGTCTGTGCTTAATACCAAACCTTGTAGTCTATCGGTGGTCTACCGAGAGTGCCTGTGCTCAAGAAGCACTAGAGAGGGGTCTACCCTAACTATGGTAATTGGCTCCGTACCATCAGACCGGTATGATGCTGC